GCTCGGTTCGGGTCGCACGTTCCAGTGCTTAAAGTCCTCGCGCATCACCGAGCTGCACACGCGCTCCTCGGACACGCACCTCCGCGGGGCGCGCGCGGCTGGCTTGGTGCGAGGTGTTGTGCGAGACGGCTGCGTATCTATGGTGACCCGGGCCTGGTGCGCGTGCAGCGGCGGCTGCAGCTGGATGTGCTGCAGTTCCGATGCGTCCGTGTACTTGGTGAACACCAGAGGCACCGCAATGTCAGCCTTATCCAGCTGGTTCCAGAAGCGGGCCATGCAGCACGCCCTGCTGATACAGGGCCACGCCATGGTGGGCTGTACGGAGCTCCACTACAATGCACTGTGCAGGGGCCAAACAGAAGAAAATATGTCTCCTGAGCTGAGAGAAACGAGATGTCCCTGCGTCAAGCTGCAAGGAGGCCACCGACACCTTTTGACGTTAGATGAGGTTAATCAGTAAATCCATTTTGCATCTAAACTAGACAGATTTATTTTACTACAAAAACAACCGTTGCCTGCTGCCGTGTTCTCCGCTGCTGTCGGTCCCTCTCTGTCTGCTACATCACTCCCTGGCAGGACTGCAACGGAAAACAGCCCCGCCCTCCTGCTCAGCATCCACAGACACAGGAGGATCCGCCGAGGAGGAAAATTAGTCCATCAGCGAGAATAACAAAGAACTTCCGGTTTAACCCCCATTGTAAACGCTTTAATAACGCTCTTTTTAAATGGTCTTATTATAAATAGCACACAACAAGATAGCATTATAATATATATTGGCTATATGTTATTATATTCTATGCACATTCTCTTCACGTCGCATATCTGAAGGCATTGACAAACAAGAGGTGGACGAGGGTAAATACTGCGGCATGGTGATGCTGGACCTACAAAAGGCTTTCGACACTGTCAATCACCCCATTCTGATTGACAAGCTAAAAGCAATTGGTTTTGATAAACTATCGGTGAGCTGGATGCAATCCTACCTGGAGGGGAGAGAACAGATGGTGGAGGTAAACGGTACTCTGTCCCCCCCCCTCCCAGTGAGCTGTGGTGTTCCACAAGGAAGCATATTAGGTCCGTTACTGTTCCTAATTTATGCAAATGACATGTCATCAGCATGTGACTGCAACTTGTTCCTGTTCGCGGACGACTCAGCCCTGCTGGTCTCTGACAGGAGCAGATTGCAGGTTGAAAAAACCCTCAGCTCCGAGCTCGGCAGAATCTGCACCTGGCTCGCCGATAATAAATTATCATTACACCTGGGTAAAACAGAGTCCATTCTCTTCGGTTCGAAACATAATCTCAGCAAATCCGACGACTTCTCAGTTGCAGTGGGTGACATTATTGTCACAAGTAAGAAGGAAATTACATACCTAGGATCTATTCTTGAGGCAAACCTCTCCTGTGACAAAATGGCATCCAATGTAATAAAAAAAGTCAATCAAAGAACTAGATTCCTATACCGGATCTCCTCTCTGGTAAACAAAAACACCCTGAAAACTCTGGCAGGAGCACTCATTCAAGGGTACTATGACTATGCTTGCACGTCATGGTACCATAGCACCTCCAAGGCGCTAAAAATAAAACTTCAAACATCGCAAAATAAACTGGTCAGACTACTGCTTGACCTTTCATCTAGAACCCACCTCACCTCTGCCCACTTTGACAACCTAGGATGGCTTAGAGTAGACGACAGAGTACAGCTACTTGCAATGGGCCTGGTCTACAAGATCCACTACACCTCTATGGTACCCATGTACATGTCAAAATTCTTCCCAAAGGTCAAGGAATACCATGATCATAACACCAGAGGGAGCTCCACAAATCATGTAAAACCCAGATTTGGCACAAAAAAAGGGGAATACACGTTTCGCAATTATGCCACATCAAGGTGGAACGCTCTTCCCACAACTGTAAAGGAAAGTAAAACTATACTTACCTTCAAAACCTCTCTTAAAGAGCACCTTCGGGGGAAAGCATTGCAAAACTGGCCCCGGTAATGGTACAAATCTCAACCTGTCGTACAATGGACAGCTTCCCCCCCCCATCTATGTATATACTCGCATTTTAGACTCTGTTACTAACTGTATATCTGTAGACTTGGTATGTCTTAAATGTCCGGTTAGGATGTATTAGAACGAAATCTAAAATGAAAATTGTAAATAAGCCATCTGTATGTAAAAAACCACCTGTATGTAAATTGTAAATAAGCCATCTGTATGTCAAATATGTCTTATATGTCTTAAATGATATGATGAATTGGAAATGGGGGACCCCTGATGTAAACAAGACGAAAGTCTTTCTCTGGTCTGCATCCCCTTAACAATTGTATGTTTTGAGCTGTACTGTACTGTACCCAATATACAAGCTGTTAATAAACTTTTCAATCAATCAATCAAAGACGTGTGCTTTTATTTTGAAATTGGACCATTCATTTCTGGTATAATGCTGCTGAACATGGTGAGCTTGACGTAAATTAGGTGTTTTTTTCTTCGCTCACTGCGTATCGTTTCGCCATCACTTTTCTACTGTTTCTCTGAACGTGTGGATATGTATAACATTAGATACAACTAGAATTAGAAAATCAGTGGTCAGAAATGAGGAGAATATCTGCCTGATCAAATAAATATCATGAAAATAAATAGATGTATAGCTCAGGAGGAAATATAAAACAACACCAAGAAAAAATACATATTAGATGAATCTGTAGTAATAAGGAAAACTTTGCAAAATTGTTTTTAAGTATACATGGAAGTATAAAGTATAGTACTCATATTTCCATCATGTGTATTAAGATAATAAAAGCCATAAAAAGGGCCACACTGTTAAATGTTATCTACTTACTCATGCAAAATTGCCTTTGTGACAAAGACATTGCTTGCAGACTGGGGCAGCAAGTAGAACACATGAATAATGCCGACTCATTACACACCCTGACGGGGACTGTATTTCTACGACATCTGACAGACAAGCACATCATCTATAGAGGGCTTCATAATGAAGTCTGATAGCTGATTCTTTTGAAACAATAATGATCTTACACATGTTTTATTAAAGTTTAATGTGTTCCATTAGTGCGGGTGAAACATTAACTCACTGACTGATAAGGTTATAAGGTTCATTTATTATCATTCTGCAACACAGCTGTGCACAAAATATGTGAGGTGCATCCTCTTTACGCTACACAAGAAGAACAACATGGAGGATGATCTGAACAGACTTACAGCCTGAGAGAAGCTGCTCTGCTGTCTGGTGGGACGTACAGATGGATTACTGAACAGGCCTACTAGGACATATATGATGTACCAAACCAGGAAGAAACACAAAAATAGCACCAAAAATCACAGCGCAACTACAAAGAGATGCAAAGCAACTGCTAGACACAATAGCTTGAAAGGGGGAAAACAGCCGCAAAGAGATACAAAATGACAACAAAGAGAAAAAGTGAGCAGAAGGAGACCATAATTAACACAAAAAGAGACACACAACATGACTGAAGAGACACACAAAAAGACTCCAAAATGAAACTAAATTACCACAAATTAACAAAATAAGACACAAAAATACGAGAAAAAGAACACAAAGAAACACAAAATTATTTACAAAAAATGAAATGAATACTAAAAGAAAAAACATGATAGTAAAGAGACATAACACCAAATGGCCAAAAGGATAAATACATCAAATTAGTAAAAAGAAGTAGAAAAATAAGCAAAGAAAAACAATAAGAATTCAACAAGACAGACACGCCCACAAAGACATCAAATAAAACAAAATGACCACAAACAGACACAAAGCAACAAAAGGGACAAATATAACACTAAGACACCCAAAATAATAAATACAAATCGGGTAAAATAAATTCAGCAGAGACATATAATGGCTACAAAGAGACACAAAATGACCATGATATGACTGCGTGAGAACAAAGAGACCAAACACAAAGTAGTTCTGAGAAGATAAAAAATAAAATAATTCACACAGCTCAAGTGTGTGTGTCCGGTTCTTATAGATGCTGGGGCCTTTTGCATGTCTGCTCCAAGGACCCATTGTCTCATTATCAGCCTGCGGTGCTGTGACAGTGAACACGTCTGTGTCTGGTCAGAGGGCAGCAGGGGGAGCAGGCTGCTGCTGCTGGGGTGCATGTCGTCTCAGTAGATGAGAACCAATGATGTTCTGGACTGTTTGAATCACACACTGCAGAGATCAAGTGTTTGGGGGGTTATTAAGGTAGATAATCTGCAAATACATATACATGTATTAGGATGCAATCAAAGGGCAACTCGTAAAGGATTAACATAAATCTGTTTATTGCCCCAATAAACACCTCCACATCTCCTGTGAGCTTTTTCCTTATTCCTGTTCATCACAGAATAGGAATAGTATAGCACTGGACAGATTGCAACAGTTGCATCTGGGTATTTCTCAGTATGGTCTCGAGTCAAAGGACAAGAATAACAGGTACAGGCACATAATCCCTGAATATATCTAAATTCATAAAGATGCCACCAAAAGGCAAAGCAATGGATTATGATGAATCTTCTTTACGCTCATTGCCCCAATAAACACCTCCACATCTCCTGAGCTTTTTCCTTTTCATCATCATGGAGTAGGAATAGTCGCAGTGACCAGATTCCAACAGCTGCATCTGGGTATTTCTAAGTATGGATTCGGGGTCAAAGGTCAAGCATAACCTTTCACCCACAGTGTCATGCACACACCACGTACAGGCCTGGTTTAGGAGCTTTCCAAATCTACAAGAACACTAACTAAAACACATTTGAAATAATTCACAATGAGGTTATGTGAGCGGTACTGTCGTATCTTTCTGGCTATCTGTTAGCATGAGGTGCAGGGACATTATTGCTCAACCATGCTGGGGCTGCCTTCAGAAATTTACATAGATCAATACAACACTGTCATGCTAGCAGCTGACTGCATACGTGAAATACAGGGAGTTAAAAAAAATCAGTAAGAGCAAGATAAAAAAGTCCTTTAACTCTTCTCTCTTCCACTGAGCTGTGGCAGTCCTCTTCCTCTGAGTTATTCTTAAGGTCATGTTTCCAGCAGCTCAAAAGTCAGATACAGATATGGATTGACAAATCAAACCCTATTTTGAGTGTGAGATAAGGCAGTCAATATGAGGTGATGGTGGAGAGGTGAGGAGGACAGACTTTGGACCCACTTCACTTCTTCGGCTTCTTCTCCACCGGCTGCAGCCTCGGTTTTTATTTCTCTTCTCTCATGAACAACATGAAGGTTGATTTTGCCCCCCTGGAAATCCCCCTGCAGAGGAGACTGCAGACGGCTGCCGTGGCGCAGTGGGTCTTCTCCTTCATTGGCCTGGGTGAGTGTGCATGTTTAAATGTGTGCCTAACATATGGATATGATACTGATAGTAACGGACTGCTAATCTAATAAACAACTCCATTTTGTTTCTTTACAGTAAGTGTTAAAACATGTTGTTTCTTGTACAGTGTTAGTTAATGTGAGCGTTAGAGAACTGTTGTCACATTTGCATGAACTGCTGGATGGCCAGAAGAGGGAGCTAGTTTGAGTTCGTTCTAAAACCAGTTGCTATAGTGGTGCTGTGATCATCTGTATCTGTAGGCTGACACGGAAGTTAGCATCACAAGGGTTACCTCAACAAAAAGCATTGGGATTTTTTAATAGGATTTTAGGATATTGCCGGAAAAAATATCTGTGGCAACGTTCATTTTACTAACCCTAACCTACACCACCTTTTTGAATTAAAGCGTAAATGCAAATCGCAAGAAGTAGGCTAGCTCAATCGTACAAACTAATCACAGTTGCATGACATGACATCACAACCGCTAAGCTAAAGGTGGATAATGTTGGGCGTAATGATTTTTAGGGTCTCCTCTAGATACTTGTTAGCAACAGCCATTTTAAAAACACCAGTGGGGTATTTACTGACGTATTGTTTCTCGTAGAACAAAAACAAAAACATTCTATAAGCTTGTGTTAAAGGTGGGGTAGGTAAGTTTGAGAATCCGGCTCGAGATACACTTTTTGTTATATTCCATGGAATGCTCTTCAAATCCCGATAACAATGAATATCTTAAGTGCTTTGACAAAAAATCCATAAAAAAATGTCATCTGTGGAAGCTGTAGTACTGTAAAAAGCACGACCAATCATTTTAGCCCGCCCGGCTAAAATAACTGGATGGCCTACCTGCCTGTCAGCCTTCCATCTGTGCACAAACTTATCTCGTGCCCTCATTGGTCATGTGCACGTTCATGTGTGTTGGAGGAGGGGCTCTGTAAGGAAGTGGCAGATTTTTTCCGGTTGTGTATTTTCAAATTCTAGCTCACTCGAGCTGGTTTCTCCAAAATTACCTACCCCACCTTTAAACACAGACCTTATTTAATGAATTTAACGAAAAACTGATTCAAATAACCATTGACTGCAAGTCAAGGGAACCCAGAATTGCTAAAATGCTAACTAATTTCCGGTTTTAGGAATCATTCCTGCAGAACTCTATTTCATGTGTACGCATCTAATATCTCCACACAGATCTGAAAGATATACAGTTCTGGAAAAAGTTAAGAGTCCACTGCAGTATTATCAGTTTCTCTGGTTTTAATATGGATAGGTATGTGTTTGAGTATATGCACTGTTCTACAAACTACTGACAACATTTCTCTGTGTTGGAATTCACCAGACACTGGAATGGAATGGCTGTAGACATGTAGAGATTGAGATTTTAGAAACATTTGCAGTGGTCTCTTTTTGTCTTCTTCTCCAGAGCATTATGTTGTATATCTACCATGTTCCAGATGTTTTTATTTGGAATTGATTGTACATACAATATTTTTTCACAAGCCATGGTGATACAGCAGGTGTTTTTCTGGTGTTACGGTGACTTTTATGGGCAAAATAAGGGGATGCACAGCTCCACCCAACACTTTTCTATTTTAATACATGCAGATAATCTCATCACTGGCATCCAGAAAATTACCTGATCATGATCATTTAAAGGTATAGATAGATACAAGGGGGTTTGGCAACTCTACATAGACTGTGTGCATCCAGATAAACCACAGCTATCAATGAAAAACTTTACATCATCAAAAAATATAAGAACCTAATACCACAGGACAGTAACCACAAAAACCACTGATGTCCTCTCAAGCAGAACTGAACACTATTGACACCAGCTATTCATAACATGCTTATTCCAGCTAATATGATCTCAACAATCTATACAGAGTGTTTTGCACTCACTGTGAGATAATGCTGCTCACGCCCCTCCTCTCTCCTCAGCTCCCCTCTGCATCTTCATCTTCCTCTACCTGCTGTTCACTCGCTTCTGGCTGATCAGCGTGCTGTACGCCGTCTGGTGGTTCTATGACTATGACACCCCAGCACGTGGGGGCCAGAGGGTGCCCTTCTTGTGTGGCCTCAAAATGTGGGACTACATGCGAGATTATTTCCCCGTCAAGGTGAGAGACAACCTGAAGAAATCCCTTTCACAAGGCCTACATGTCAATCACTGCTTATGCTGTGTATGCACATACCTGCCTTTAAGCAGCCCTTTAGTTCTGTTAATTGTGAGGGCTTCACCTCTGCAGGTCAGAGAATAAGGACCTCTCACTCTGCCAGTTTATCTTATCTTTGATCTCCACCTACATGTGAGCAGCAGCCCCTTATCTCTGTCCTTGGCAGCACATGTAGGAGGCCCCAGCTCCACATAGCCCCCCCAGAACAGGTACACATTATAGTTGTCAGATTAAACACAGTGCTGTCTACGTGTATTTGACTAGTGTTTGTCAGAGACTCTGTCAATAGACTAATGGACTCTGAGATACTGTAGGCTACTGCAGGACAGGACTGTGCTGCATACTGCACGAGATGCACAGCCAGATGATGTTCATTGGGATTATTATCATATACTGTATTAAACAGTTATATACTCTGCTGATCATTTGAAAGAATAGTATGAGACTTTATTCACTGTCTTGCTGTCAGTAGCAGATTGACACCACTCCAATATCTGGTTTAGCTTAGCTTAGCATGATGTCTGGAAGCAGGTGTTAGCAGCTATTGTGTTTCGGTTATTACAGTTTTATGGGGTTGTGTGCAGGACTGGGTTTTTGACATGCAATAATCAAGAATTGCCTTTTAACTTAAGGGTGAAAGAAATACTGTAATAGAGTGGCGAAGTCCCTCCCCTTCCGGTGGACCTCCATGGGACCTTATTTCGGAAAAATTATGTATTGAAGTCAATGGAGAGAGAAAGATTATCTTTCGATCCCGTTTGAATTGTGCCATGAATTACACATATGTTGTTTGTCAATTTAAAAGATAATTTTGCAAGTCAAAAAAAAAAAAATGTGTCGTAAAACTGTGAAGTAACACATTTGTTTGTGTGAAACGCTCAAAGAACTACATCTGATCTCTGGTCAACAACACACGTCACCAAGATGGCCGTCACTACTGTCTTGTCAACACAAGAGACTACCCTCACTATCACTACAATGAAACACGTCCTGAAGAATGTCATGCAAAGCTGCCTGCCTTCCTTCCTTTGATTCTCTCTGAACTGCCTGGTCGTTTTAATGTTTAATGTCAACCATTTGTGCAGATAGCATGAAGTAGAGAAGATCGCTAGCGTTAGCGTTAGCATTTCTCCCCCGGGCTTAAATTGTGTATTATAGAATGATCACACCGGTGACAGTACTATTCAAAGGGTTCACGAAATATGACTACTACTCTTACTGTTTAACATTTTGGGTTACTTAATGTTACTTCATTTTAAGGCTAATAAAAATGACAAGGCTGTAATGCTAACTAACGTGCTAGCTACTAGCTAGGTAGCTAACTTGATCCACACACTCCTCTTTCATCAGACGGGAAGCGAAAGAACGAGCAAGACCCATTGCTGGTATAATAACAACCTGGTACTAAGCACACAGGCACAAAGTTATCTTATCTTAGCCAGCGCCATATAGATAGATTCTATCTATATGGCGCTGATCGTATATATACGGTATTATACGTGTATCGTAGTGTCTCAATTGTGACATCACTTACGCGACTCTGGGATTTGTAGTCTTTCTAGTTTCGTATTTTTCAAAGTCTTATATTTCAACAGTTTTAAGACAAACTGTGACTTTTTTGACATGGAAATGATTTTTTAAGATTGACAAACATCATATGTGTAATTCATGGCACAATTCAAACGGGATCGAAAGATAAGTTTTCTCTCCCCATTGACTTCAATGCATAATTTTTCCGAAATAAGGTCCCATACCCCGGAAGTAAGTGGGAGGGACTTCGCCACTCTATATACCACAACGTGTTGTGTTTTGTCACTTCAGTTTTTTAACAAAAAATAATTTGGAAGGTTGAAAGCACTTGTCGGTACTTTTGTCACCTTTGGACAGAGCCAGGTTAGCTGTTTCCACCTGTCTCTGGACTTTATGCTAAACTATGGTAAACATGACATTGCTCCTGCTTCATATTTGACAGACAGACATAGGAGTAATGTCATACATTGTTCAGTAGAAAGCAGTGCATTTTCTAAAATGTCAAACCTTTCCTTACATCTAGTTGCAGAACAGTGTACTTCCAGCAGTTATTTTTACAGATGTACTCTGGCTGCTTGCCAGATGCTGCTGAAAACTAGAGTACAGAGGTATTAGGTAGTAGAATAGTTACAATACTGAAGGCTGCAAATGGATGATCAGTTTCATACATTTGTGTCTATAAACTGCGAACTCTCTTCCGTACAAAACAAATGCATTTTCTATACAAGGAGAGTTAAGTTGGCATGCTTTCAGAACAGTGCTTTCAATGGGACATTACGAACACCCTCATATAGCTCTGACCAACACACCTGACTGACTGTGCCCTCTAGTGGTCATTGATGAGAAGTGCATACATATAAGATGTACTTTATTGATCCCAATTTGGGAAATGTTTGAATGATGATGATTTGAAGCACATTTCATCACAGGATTTTATCTAAAAATCGACAGTAGTGTGATGTTGGGTGTGTGCATTTTGAATGATGAATAATAACTGTAGAATCAGACAGAACTGAAGGTAAGAACATCTAGCGCAGCGTGCCTCTAGCAGGCCTTACACTTTGGACCGTGCTGATAAGAGTGCAACAACAACTACATTAGTTTAACACTATTTATTTTTTGGAATCAGAAAGGGACAAAGTCCATAATTTGCTTTTGAAAATAAACTTATTTAAGAATTTTAAAAGGAACATTTTTCACAAGATTTCCGAGTTGTTTGTGTCTCTAAAATAAAGTGGGTAATTTCCTTGTTTTTGCAAATGAATCTTTACAGCCATAAATGATAACACAGTAATCCATATTGTTTGGTTGGACACACTGAGCTAATCAGATCCTGCATACAGCATATGTTTTTTTTTAAAGGCTGCTTTATCTTATATACATTTAAAACATATAATAATATAGGCAATTTCTAGATCAGGAACAATTGTAAAACAATTAAACAACAAAAACAGCAAAATAATAAGAGCCAGGACGAGGTTTGATAAGGCAGTCACACCGTGAGCACCATAAACACTGCTCCATATAAGAATACCAGTCAGGAGAACACCGATACAGAAGTGATACTACAATCACAGGGACATACATTTAGTGAAATGAATATTATCATTCAGTCTTAAAAGGATACAAGATAATAGGTGGAAAATAGTAATTATATAAACATATATAATGATGGAAATTCCAATGGAAATAAGTCAAACTAAGGCAAGTATAAAGAAAAAAGGCATTTTATTATGAAATGTGTAAATACATTTGGTATTAATCTGAACGTTGGATGAAGCCAGGTACAACATTTTCGTTTTGTACAAACGATTTGTACAAAGGGAATTCTGGACATCTCTTTACATCACGTACATTCTTACCTTGTATATCATTAAGAAACTTTCCCCAAATTATCATTTAGAATTATTTTTTTTAGATTACATGTTTTCAAAAAGGCTTTATTATGCAAATGTTGGTTTTCTTTCGGTACATTTAGAAGAAATATACAGATGTCAATAGTAAATCATCTGAAAGAAGACATGTTATAGGAGGCAAAATAGCTATCTCTAAATTGACCGGTGCAACATGAAAATACAGTATGAGTATTTGAAGGTGTTTTATAACAACTATAAGGAGCTAATACACAGGAGAACAGAATATGTAACAGTTCCAGAAGAGATAGAATGGGGAAGACATCATGACATCTTTTCACATGATTTACCACGCCGTAAATAAAGCCAATAACATGGTGAGAGGTATTAAAGATCTCGTGTGAATGTTTATCAGTCGAAATATCACTTTGAATTTGTTCTCTCTGTAAAAATAAACAAAAATAAAGTTATTACCAAGAATGAGAAGTTCCAGGGTTTGCCCTCATTCTGACTAACCCAGACCTAAACGATGTATCATCTGACTGTATGCAGCATTAGGGCTGAAACAAGGACTCAATGTCAGGGTGAAGGGAGGCAGTGTCCTTTCATTCGTTTCGATGGTGTGTCTTCGCCCACCGTTTCTAATAGCAGCATCATCAGCTCAGGCAGATCACCAGCTGACGTGCGCTCACTTCACAACTAAAGGACAAACATGTCTGCATGCAGGGAGAGCTATCAGGGTTCACATCTGACGCTCTGCAAGAGGCCAATGAGGCTTTTCTGTTTCAAGTCAAAGTCAAAATGTGTACAAAAATGTTATACAATCAAATTGAATATAAATATCTAAATACACATAATACATTAAGTAAAAATGTGCAATGAAATAGAATAAAAATAGAATAATAATATTTCTAAAAACAGAAAAAGTTGAAGTAAAATGGTGCAGATAAAAGGTTAAATAAAATAGAATACAAATATGTATTCAGTCATAAGAAGTTAAAATAATGTACAATACAAATATTAAAATGTGCACATTGTACCATATGTAACAACAATAAATATATGTATATTACTAAAATCCTGTGGTGTATTAAAATCTCCTTGTTGCTGCTCTGTGATTGGAATGGACAGTTTTCTGTTTATCAGCACTGAGGGTCCTCATCATTAGGAACTCAGCTAACAAGTGACTCTGTGATCCAGGGCCCCCCGGGAGCAGGGGCCACAATACAAACAGAGCCACAACAACAGCAGCCTATAGTCTGATTCAGATCTACAACAACTTGTTTGAGTGATACAAGACCACTGGAGTCCATTTTGATTCTTTCTTTTAATAATTCAATTGAAGCATAAGAAAGAAAATAGTAATAATAGTAAGTAAGTAATTCATGAAATGTATTACGTCAACGGATTTAACATAACTGTATGAAAGCAATAATATTAAGTTGAACCAAATATTTTGTATTTAAACTTAAAGTGGACCTATCATGCTATATTATAATAATATAGTGTAGGACCATACCTATATAAGGCATATTTATACTTTTTTTTTTTCAAAATACCAAACAGATCATGCATTTTAGCCATGCCTCATTTCGCTCAATTTGCACTTTTGTAGCTCTGTTTTTGCAAGGGCAGATTCTGTGAGAACAGCACCACCTACAGGCCTGGCATATGTACATAATACATTTAATGAAAGTCATTGTTTATTTTCTTCAGTGAACAGTGAGGCGTCACATTCAGATACAAACAGTGGAGAGAGCACATTGTTGTTGTTTTTTTGTGTGCATAATACTTGCTTCAAAACAAACGACAGCACACGCCTCTTGACTCTGACAGTGACCCCCACTATCCCCCCCATCCGCTCTCTGGACCTGTAGGCACACACACCCTCTACAGATATATCTTACACATAGATATCTTATCTTTTACAGTTGAAGATATAGAACAATATTTCTGACAAATCATGGAAATATGACATCATTTCAAGGACTGATAACGTCAGTAAAGCATTCAAAACATCTTCTGTGTTGAGTGCAAACATTGATCTGTTGGCTGCTGCAGTTGCATTGTGGGTAAAGCAGGCACCATGTGTTGACAAGTAAGATGAATGCATACAACAAGAAAGATGATATCTTTGATTCTAATGCCCTGATTTTGACACAAAAAAACAATTGTAGATAGTGATCTCACCATAGTAAGTATTTCAGCGCTAAATCAGTACTGTAGTTTATTGTTTTTGAATGTTTGTGTAAGTGGAGTTAAGCTATGTGAATATTGTTTACTATTGCAAATAATGTCACTGTATATCCAGTATTCACAAACAGAGCAGGAACAACAGAACCTCACAGCAGGCTAGACAGTCCTCTGAATCTTTAGTGATGTGTGTTTCTGCGGGACAGGTGAATGAACCCATGGTGTATTGATCCATTGCTGCAGATTATACTCCTAATATCTTCCTCTGTCTGGAACTAAAGTAGGTTTAAAAGAAAATACACAAGAAAATGTCTGTTCCTCAAAATTATATATAAAATACATTACTTGAATTAAAGTTACTTTCCACACCTGAAGGTACAGTGTGTGTATGAGGGGAAGTGTGTCTGACAGCAGGCTGTTTCTAAATACTTTGCACACAGACAGAAAAGCTGGACACTGGGGAAATGGTCTTCCTCAAAGAGCTGACAGTGTAGTCAACTCTTTAAGGAAGAATCAGATCATAGGAAATAACATATTCTACATGGCTAACCTGCAACATTTTTTCTCTGTTCCTCACCAAGTTGGTGAAGACAGCTGATCTGGATCCGAGGCACAACTACGTCCTGGGCTTCCACCCCCACGGCGTGCTGGTGGCGGGGGCCTTCACCAACTTCTGCACCTACGCCACGGGCTTCAGAGAGCTGTTTCCAGGCCTCACCAGCTACCTGCTCATGTTGCCCCTTTGGTTCAGGGCCCCGTTCTTCAGGAACTACATCATGTGTGCAGGTGAGGGCCAGAGACGTTGGTTCTCAATCAAACCGAAGGGGTGTTCCCTTCCCTGTAGTGTTCTAGAGGTTTCAGTGCATGTAAATGGTCTGCAAAGGCTAGAATCCCTCTCTCTCCCACACACTCCCCCCCCCCCCCCCACCACCCCGTCTGCCTGAAGCACCTCCATTGGACTCCTTTGTTTACTTCTGTAACATAATGACATCACTATGTAACACTTGCACTTCTATTGGCTAGTGTTCCGACACATCGTCGTGATAGGCTAAGGGGCGGGACATCTCTAAGCTGTTGACCAATCATAACAAAGCCGGCCAGCTAACCAATCCGAGCAGACTGGGCTCTGGTTTCAGACAGAGGGTGAAAAGAGGTGCTGCAGCACAGACAGTATGAGAAGAATAAAGAGCTTTTTGAACATTAAAGCATGGAGACATGTCCCAGTAGAGACACTAAGTACAGACGTGTATCTGACTTTATATTAAAATGAGCATAATATGTCCTCTTTAAATGTAATTGATTACTGTATTCAAACAGTGTTAGTACTTGACATGCTAACAGTTTTTTTATGACATTCTTGGTTTGATCTGATTTATTTTGATCACTTCTCGTTGTCTCTTACTTCACTGCAGGTCTGATTCCTTCTGACAAAGAGAGTGCCAGCTATCCGCTCCGCAAACGAGGAGGAGGCAATGCTGTGGTAACAGCAGTGGGTGGGGCCCCAGAGGCCCTCGATGCCCACCCTGGGACCTACAATGTACTCTTGGCTCAAAAGAAAGGCTTCATCAAAATGGCGATGGTACACGGGTAAGAGCAGAGAGCCCTGGGCCAAGAGGAACCTTTTCTGTTAATAGAGCTGATTCTCCGAATGGTTGTATGGCCTGTGAGAGGATTTGTCCATCTACTCCTTTGAGGTTTGTTGCATAACGGGCGTGGCCTCTTGAAACAGAGGCTTATTCAAGCTCCTCACATGGAATTTCCTGGGAAAGCACATAGACTGTTATGAAATCAATTCAGTTATTGAACGATAAACAGAAGTAAAAAGTAATACAATTAGTGAAATTATTTGACCAGTATATCATTCTTTTTTTTCAGTGCTCATCTGGTGCCAGTCTTCTCTTTTGGAGAAAATGAACTGTTTGATCAAGTGGAAAACAAAAGAGGAACCTGGCTTCGATGGATACAGGAGCGGCTGCAAAGCATCATGGGTATCTCCCTGCCTCTCTTCCATGCACGTGGCATATTCCAGTACTCCTTTGGTCTCATGCCCTACAGGAGACCCATCCATACAGTGGGTGAGTATACTTTGCAGATTGGTGCAGTACACACAGCAGGATCCAGGACCCAGTTGGCTTCCCTTTGCACTACAGTAGTCTATGGAGTCTGTGTCATGTGTTTTTTCCAACATCGACTTTGTTTTGCCACATTTTGAGTATGAATGCTGAAGGTGAGAGACCCAAAACAGGCAATAGCACGCTGTCAATCTCCAACCACTTTCTTTCCCACTGACAGACTTTGCCACTTTCTCTTGATAAGGTCACATTTGTCACAAATCAAAAATAACCAAAATCAAACAATTTTAGTGGACGTACGTTGACGGTGCAGAATTGCCTCAATACTTACCAAATCTGTACAAAACATGGTCCCAATAAGTCACTTAAACACAAGACCATTGAAAAGAGGGTCAAGGTTAACCTGTAATTAAAGCCTGTATTGAATGTGGCTTTACCTGGCAGGAAGAAATCCATTCGCTACTTGATTTTGGCAGAATCCTCATGTTGCTGGGTTGGGAAATACATTTGGAGCTAACATGGTTAATACTAAGTCCTCCAGTAGCACCAAACTGACCACACTGCTTTTTTGTAAAGTACACTGACTCTGTTTTGTCTCCAGTTGGAAGGCCCATTCAGGTTCAAAGGAACGAGAAGCCAGCTACCGAGGAACTGGATGCCCTCCACCAGCTCTACATGGACGAACTCAGCAAGCTGTTTGACGAGCACAAAGAAAACTACGGCGTGGACAAGGACACACACCTGCATTTTGTCTGAACTGGACTGATATTGGAGTGAATTTAAATGTATATGTATTTGTAAAGATGAGGTAGACATGACTTTACTCTCAATTGGCCTGTAAATGAAAGATAAATCAGCTTTTGTTGGTTCTCCAAGAAGACATACTGCTGTATTCGTTAATATGAGGGAGGACTCAACAACCCTATCAAAATGGAAAAGTGAAATAGAAATGCTTATGTCTTCATAACTGAGACCTGGCTGTTCATTCAGATGATTTCAGGGCAGTGTGGGAAAGGGTTGGGTGACACAAGTTTTCCTCACCACCTCCCAGTGGGGGCTTCTGTCTGGGTTCTAGATTTGGTGGAAGACTTTCTAATACAGGGTCATAATGTGAATTTGGGTTGCAACATTTTTTAAAGAAACAGTCATTAATCATTTGGGGATTTTGTATCTATCCAAGTGCTATAAACAGGGAAACACCACTAAACTGAATTTCGTTATATATTTTTGTTTTACACATTATGCCCTTGAAACATTTAAGAAATCATTTAACATTAGAGTGTTGTAAAGTAATTTAGTGCATTTACACAAGACCAATTTTTGTACTTGAGCATTTTTATTTCTGTGTCCTTATGTTTGGCCAAATATTGTACTTTCTAATGCACTACATTTATGTTTGAGCTAAAGTTACTAGTTACGTTTCAGATTTTGATTTAAAATTAGAAAGGTTTTTGAAAATAAACCTGAGATTCCCAATATCTTTGGACCGAAAACAGCTGTGGTCCTTTGAAACATGAAACATGTCTTTGGGTTGTAAGCAGTTCCATCAAGAGACATTTCACTGATTGTTTTATTCAATAACAGTTTGTGGCCAAATACAAATTAAACCTATCATCATGCCTTTAATGACAGATGTCTCTGTGTGTGTGTGCGTGTATATGTGTGAGTATACATTTCAATAATCTCTTCAAACCTTGGACTTCACGCTTGCCGTGTGTGTTTCTGAAGATGTGAGGGAGCTGCGCCTCAAGGTTAGTAGTAGCTGGTAAAAAAAGGTAAAGGTAAGCTAGGTATACCCATCTTCTGCCTCAACCTTCTGTATGCATATTTTCCAAAATGTTGAGCCATTCCTATTCCTATTTTAGTACCTAATTTATTTCCTGTTTTTAAATTAAAATATGGTTATGACCGGCTAAGATGTGCATTCCTATCAAACATGATGCAAATTGAGCTGTGCACAAACTAGACTGAAGTTATCCAACATGCTCAAAGATCATGAATACGTGTCTCATTTATTGTTTTATTAGTTCTAAATTCCACATTAAAAGTTGAGTGCCCGGTTTTGGATCATGTTCCCAAATGATAAGACTGTCTGTGACATTTGGTCGACACGTTTTATCTCAGATGGCAGGGTTCTAATATTTCCAAATGAAAGGACAGATTGGACAATGCCCTGATGCTTTCAACTCAGTCTGGACAAGGTTAGTGTGAGTGTGTGTGTGTTGAGCTGATTAAAATGCTGACTAAAAGAAAAATACTTACTGTGATGCAAGAGAGACGAATAATTGGAAACTTCGGGGCATTTTTAGGAAGGAAAAACAGCAGTAAAAGGATGATGCAGTAAGTGTGTGGTGGTGTGTTAGGACAAGACTGGCCAACCTGTAGTGTAATGGAACAAAAAAACATTTAAAGGTGGGGTAGGTAATTTTGGAGAAACCAGCTCGAGATCGCTAGAATTTGAAAATACACGACCGGAGAAAATCTGCCACTTCCTTATAGAGCCCCGCCTCCAACACACACGAACGTGCACATGACCAATGAGGGCACGAGATAAGTTTGTGCACAGATGGAAGGCTGACAGGCAGGTCGGCCATCCAGTTATTTTAGCCGGGCCGGCTAAAATGATTGGTCGTGCTTTTTACAGTACTACAGCTTCCACAGATGATATTTCTTTATGGATTTTTTGTCAAAGCACTTAAGATATTCATTGCTATCGGGATGTTAAGAGCATTCCATGGAATATAACAAAAAGTGTATCTCGGGCCGGTTTCTCAAACGTACCTACCCCACCTTTAATGGAGTAAACACACTTTCTGATTCAAGACAGGTTTCGGCCTAAAGTGCTGTGATTGGATCAGGCCTTCCCTACATCCATGACCTGGTTAAACCATAAAACCCATCAGTTCCCACTAGACATTGGTCAATAAAATACAAATAAAAACCTTCTCACTTAGGTATGTAGCATTTTCAGAAGCACTCTCAATGGTCTGGCTAATTAAAAGCTAATGTAACTGCAGATTGCTGTTTTGACTTTGTACCTTCATAGTTGACTGCACTTATTGTAAGTAGCTTTGGATAAATCATCAGCTAAATGAAATGTAATTTATTGTAATATTCCTGTCTTTGATACCAACTGTATCAAAAGCTGATCCTCTATTGACAATCGTTATCAGAAGAGACCTATTTGTTTCATATATCCCAACAGCTCATATCCTGCAGAGCTGTAATCATAACGTCACAACAAACAATGTTAAACACAGTGACATACAAATCATAGTAGAGGACATAATGACAGGAAAACATAGACAACACAGTGGCCGTTTCTCAATGTCGAGTATACCTGCTGCAGAGCCACTATTTCAAGTATACTACATCATCGAGTGGCGCCGAATGCTGGGCATTTAACATGCATTTAAACAGTCCTTCGGTGCCACTCGATTACGTAATATACTTGAAATAGTGGCTCTGCAGCAGGTTTACTCGACATTGAGAAATGGCCAGTGATGAATGCTGCATGCTCTGTGTAATAGTAATGACACTAAAGTATTCATGTGTCACATTGGGGTCTTCTCAGACAAAACGGCTTCACAGTTGAACATTGTTTGGTCTCAGATTCCTCTTGGAGTGGAGTGTGTTAGGTCACATTCACAACATTATCGACCTTCTTTGAAGACAGTGTTCAAGGTACAAAACAATATAGGTTCCTGTGGGTCACATCTTATCTTGGCTTTTTCTTCAAGGAAAACAAAACACTGACTGCCTGAGAATATCCATATGTACCATATTTACAACTGTAGCGTGATATGAGGAAGGAGTCTTGCATGGTAATAAAGTCGTATAGATAATTTGGTATCTTTTCTTTAGATACAGAATGCAATACACAGCAGGAATTATATAACAACATGGAACACTGAAAAACATGGTAAACAGGTGAAATTATTGAGGTATTGCATAATACAAAAATAATGTTTGTGTCTAGACTAAACTAAACTAAAATAGACTTGAATGGAACACTTTGATTCATGACATCTGGACCATAATGGACTTTATAAGAACAATCAATGTCAATATAGCAATTAGAACCAGACCGAACTGAAAATAAAGCACAAGGGATATTAGAGGACTGTAAATGCATGATTATGTAACAGAAGTTCAAATGGATGGTTCATTCCTCAACTTTTATCTCATGTCAAGGACTGTATGAATCATTTCAGCCAAAATCAGATTCTTGGGCCTGATCCCACTGGACATGTGCTATCAGTTCAACTTTTTGGGATGAACCTTATTTGATATAAAGTGCAAATATTTCCTCAGTAAACACTGGGTTTAATATTGAATTTGATAAGCTTATAGCGGGCAAGGTCAGCGACCTGGGAACGTATTGTGGTGTTAAATTGATACTACCCCAGTTTGAGTCAGAATCACTTCTGTTTGTCGAATTTCAGTATGAGTTGATCCAGCAAATAAACACTGATTCATTAAATCAATGACAATTGTCATGAGCAGTTTCATGAAAGAACTATTTTCTTTCTCGCTGTGCAGAAAGTTAGCTAAATACTGGTTGGGTATTTACTGACATATTTTATGTCGCGGAACATTTTGAGTTAACCAGAAGTGCTGAAATGCTAACTCAGTTGTGTTTTTTAGGACTCATTCCCGCACCACTATATAACTCTTGACCTACTCTTTAGCCATTTGCCAGCAGCTGTACATCATTTTTCTGTCCACCTTCAGCAGTCCTGGTGGGGTGAGTTTCTGTGCCATGCCAGCTGGCAGCCTGTCAGAAGCCTCGGGACTTACCTGGTAGTTTGAACTTTTCACAACTGAACCCACAGCTGCCCACACTGAAGTCACGTTCAGTGCAACAATTGCAACATCTCTGCAACAATATTTAGGGCTGTGCAAAATGTTTTGTAAGGCATTCAATAGGAACACAATAAGAAACTTCTAGCAGTATTGCATTTGTCAAAAAGACGCAACACAACAAAAAGAATGATAATGAGAACATTAGCAATCTGAAGTCGGTGTTTTGATCTCATCCCCTGCCGTCAACATGTCAATTTCTTCTCAGGCAAAATACTTGACCCCAAACTGCTCCCGATGGCCGACGGTGTGGGAATGTTTGTGAATGTCAGTCTCCCTGAGGTGGCCCCTTGTTTGGCCTCTGTATGAATGTATGTTAACGGGTGAATGCTGACTAAAATGTAAATGTAAAAGTAAAAGGGCTTTGAAAGGTTGCAAAGAATGGAAACATGCTATTTAATTGCAGTACATTTACCACTAACATTAGTAGCATTATAAATAACCATGTTTATGTTGTAAAATAACAAGGAAAGGAAAATGTTTAGGAAAAAACAAACATGTTTGAAACCCCCACTCCTCCCACCTCCACCTGTGTGAGGCAGGGTCAATGGTCAAATGGTCAAATCCTGCTCCATGTTGCTCCCAGCTGACCCACGTGACTGCCCCAATAAATACAGACAGCAGCAGCACTGCCCCCCCCCCGCATCCCGTCCAGACGTCTTGTCAATAGGCTATATTATATTATTAATCCACCCAGACCCGGCTCCAGGCTCCTCCCCCGCTCCTTAAAGGCCGGCTCTACGCGTCGGGGAGCCGCAGTCGCAGGCAGCGGTGTCCGAGGAGCTGTAGGCTGGACTTATGATCCTGACAGCCCGCAAGCCAACATCTGAGCGTTCCTCTCTCAGCCCCCCCTCTCCATCCTGAAGCTCAGCTATGAAGACCATCCTCGCTGCGTACTCTGGCGCCCTCAAAGGTAAGAGCTCTGGAGAAGTGAACTGACTTACGGAGAGCAGACACACAGTCCTGTGAGGGTGACAGACACACATGTCCAAAATGCACTACCATAACACTGCATGTGATTTTAAAGGGGATTAGTCCTGAATATCACACTATCTAATGTATGTTGGTAAATGTTTGTGTGAATGCTGCTTCCAATAAAGTTAAAGAAACAGTGTTATGTGCAGCCCAAGTTAGCATTTTCTCTGCAGTTAAAATATAAAAATCTTAAATTCTAAAGTCAAATTAGGAGTTGTTGGTGGTAGTCCAACATACAACAAGTAGATTTTTCTTCATTGCATTGACATATAATATGCTGATTTTGCACTTTGTCATTGAACATACTGCTTTCAAGTCCAGAGTTGTATATGAACCCTATTTTGCATGTCTTTGCAGTACAATATTAGATATATATGACGGTTAAAATAATAGTTATTTGTGAATGTCCAACATATGAGTAAGGGATTCATGGGAGAAGTTTGAACTTTATAGACTTTTCCTGACTGTGGATTTTGTGCCTGGTTACTAACATTGAAATGGCTTTTCCTCATTGCATGCATGTCTAATATGTTGGATTTGTGCTATGTGATTGTTATTGCTTATTCTAACAAAGTCCAACAAACATAGTTTGATGTGCATTGCTTTTTTTGAATTTCTCTGCAGTTAAATATTGAAAATGTAAGTTAAATTGAGAAGCTTAAATGTTCGTGATTGTCCAACATATGACTAGGGGATCACGTTTTAACTGAGAGCCTTTTCTGGTAAAGTACTACTGAAGATTTGCTCCTTCATCACTTACATTGAAATTGTTTTCTCTTTATGGCCAGTATGAACCATTTAACATGTATAGCTAAACATATCTCTCAGTGTTTTTGTTGGTGTTTCAGTATTATTTCATGCCAGACTTTAAAACATATGAACTTCTGAGCAGACTCTGCTGCTGTAGATGAGTCTATCAAGGCTGTTATCTTTAGCGAGTGGAACCATCTCTAAAGAAAGAGAAAAAAGCTGTTTTTGACAGAAGAGCCCATGCTCCACCTGTTGCTTCATCTGCAGGACATGTCAGTGTGTGTTCCTCTCTGTCTGGTTAGCACATTGATCTGGCACCCAGTGGGACTCCACATGCTGTAAGTAGGCCGATTCAGCTGTGACCAGCATCCCGGCCAATTCTCCGGTCTCTCCCCATCAGCCACTGGCACACACCCAAGCTTGTATAGCCTTTAAGCCATCATAGCATCATAGTTCACAGGTATTACCAGCAGCAGTCCAGTGTGGGTTATTTTCAGTGTTCACAGATGGGATTAGATGACCGTGTTTTCCAGGAGGGCAGCTCTTCTTCTTATTGGCTGTCTGTGTGCGCACTTGACTAGCCTCAGCTGTTCTTAATGTGTCTTGTACTGTTCGCTCCATCTTTGCACACATATTCTGTAGCTTCATGGCTTTACTAGCATGGGCTGGTGACTGAAAAAAGCTGGTGAGTAGAGGGCTGAAATTAGTATGGATGTAGGGCTGCTGTGTTGTGTGGAGGTCAATATTTAGTTTGATGTCCAGCTCTGGACAAATAGCATTACTAGGACTGTTTCGACTGCATCGCTTATCCTTCTCATCTGCTTCTGTAACTGTGTCTTTAATAACCCACCCTATTGGATATTAGTTTAGTTTATTTGTTTATAGTGTCGTGGACAGTCCCCATTGATCAACTGTCACACAAAACAGTAAATGGGGCAGCTTTAGCAATCATTGCTAATTCCAGCTGTTGTCCCCGGCCAGATGATAATAGACACTCTTAAAATCACAATACATCAACAGCATTAGTTATAAAAAAGGACGAAAGACAAGTATTATTACATTTGATCGTTTTGATACAACTTATTGTTACTGTCTCTTGTTTTGTCTCCAGGCACTGGCTCCAGCATCCTCTCTGCCCTGCAGGACCTGTCCGTGGCTTTTTGGCCCTGCAGATCCAAGATGGAAAAACATCTGCAGGTCATCTCTGTGCTGCAGTGGGTCCTCACCTTCATAGCCTTGGGTGAGCGAGTGTGTTTGTGTGTAGGCTCATTTTACTTAAGCCTTAGGAAAGTAAAGGAACATGGGAGACTTATCTTGTAGTCTCATTAGACTCATGTCAAGAAGGTCATATATCTGAGCTGCACACGGTCTGTGTCTGACTCCTGTTTACCTCTCAGCCTTTCACAGAATATCTAAGCCTTCAGTTAAGCCTTTCATTTGTAGGTCATCTGCAAGAATGACATCTGTATTCAAACACTTGATGTCATCCTCTCTCCCCCCCCCCAGGTGCTGCCTGCACTGTGCTGCTTATCTACATGTTCTGCACTGACTGCTGGCTGATTGCTGCCATGTACACCGCCTGGCTCATCATGGACTGGAACACCCCAAAACAAGGCAAGACATTTAAGATGACCATGAAAAAAATGATGTTGCACAGTAGTCACATTTTACCCCTATACGAGGAAAGATGATGATGACATTTTAAAATATGTTTAGGCATGATCAGAATTGCACTGTTCTTTGTGTTAGGTGCCAATAAGCAAATGCTAACAAGCCAGATTTAGCTTGTGAACATTGAACACATGCCTGTTAACCTATATTAGCATACTGACGTTAGCATTTTGCTAAATGTTGTTATGTTGTCAATGAATGGAAACTATTTGTGTAGACTGAAAAAGCATTATTCTAAACAGGTTACCCTGGGTGTTCATTTTATATATATTTTTTACATTTTATAAACTCAATTATTTATGAATGAATGTAATAGTAAAATGTCCTTATTGCAGATGAATGCTAATGAAACACTTTAGCTGTAGTTTTGATGTAGTGAAGTGATTTCTAATCTGTAATGTCTTCTTTAGGTGGCAGGAGGTCCTCTTGGGTGAGGAACTGGACCGTGTGGACATATTTCCGGGACTACTTCCCAGTCAGGGTAGGCGACAGTTTCTTGGTGTACCACAGACTGCTAATTTATAATCTTAAAAACTCAAGATAACAGTAGCTGTATGAAGATGTTAGAAATCCAACCAGTAATGAAATTAACCATCAAAACATTTGTGCTCCCTCGCAAAAAAGTGATTCTAACTCATGCTTAGGGTAGTCAGTATAGTATGATTTAACTGTTCATCGATTCCCAGCCATGCAAAGGTTTATCATTATAGATAAGCTTATCAGGGAGGATCGGTATCAGCTGCCGGCTACACGCTGTACCTCGTCCCGGTTGATTATGATGACTGCTTAACGTTGGTTGAGAGTTTTAGACTTTGTCCCACCTGACAGGCGAAGGAGCAGCGCTTGTTTTGCCCTCAGGTGTTGCCCACTGCATATTCAGCCCCTGGCACGTCAATATCGACAGTGTGGGGGGGGGACGGACACTGTACTGTAGCTGTGCATAACTCAGCAGTTGCTAAAGATCCAAAAGTCATGGGTGGAGCGAGTTTATAGGGACGCCACATGATTCAGTCAGTTGTCATGGGATTTCTGCTTGAATCATCACTTTTGTTCAGACCAGAGCTGATTTCATTGATAAGTGGATTACCACACTTTGGTTATTCATTTAATATTTTGAATCAAGACAAAGTACCAATTATCCTCTGGTTCTAGCTTCTACACTGAAATGTTGTAAAGTTTATGATATTGTCTCCTGGGAGATGGGGATCATTTGATTGGATTTCTTTCAACATATTGTGGCATTTCATTGACGACACAATTGATCAATCATTGTGAGTTGCAGCCCAATTACTGACAGATACTAAGTATATCTCACAACTGTGAATGCTATCACGTAAAACAAAGCTGATCCTTGTGAATAAGATATGCTTATCAAAGCTAGTGCTCTCTGTCGCTGAATTACCTTAGGTTTGAGCCTCATCATGCTAATGAAACACAACCTGTGGGATTCCATCATGTTCTAACTTAATGTGTTGGGAATGAAGAATAACTGACTATGTTTCAGAGAATAAAATCCCTTCCCAGCTGTTGATGAGCTTAACTACTGCACAGAGTTTAATAAAACAAAGAGAGTTACCGCAGGAGGAGGAATTTGAAGCCCTACTGTTTACATGTGACCTTTGTAGTCCCTCTCTGTGGGTTGATGTGATCACTCTTTTTTTCACCCAGCCAGTTAAAATGCGCGTTAAGCACAACAATGATCAGAATCAGAAGACTTTATTTATCAGGCGAGAAATTGGGTTTTGTGACAGTTGCTCCATTTTAGAATAAAATAATTTAAAAAATAATTTAAAAATAATAATTTAAATATAGCTACCAAGAAAATAAGTGAGGATGTGCAATAAAAAGCAAAACAAATATATTGACATATACATAAGAAGTAAAATGTCCAATAAAATAAAGACAAATATTTATATATATTTAAAAGTAAAAGCAAAATGTGTTCATTGTACCGTAATAAATTAACAACAAAAATAAATTAGTTTGACTTATGATCACCTTAACCTTACTTCAACCATGTTTGTCATCACTCAGAAAATCATGTTATAAATATAATAATAATAATAATAATAATAATAATAATAATAATAATACATGAGACTTATATAGTGCTTTTCTAAAAACTCAAAGACGCTTTGACAGAGAAGTAAGAAGATTCATCTTCTTATTATAGACGCATGCATTTCCAAACATTCGGTCTACCTACGCTGTAAAATGTATTATCTTTTCAATTTACACACGGCATCTATTGCACGTGTGTCCGTCCTGGGAGAGGGATCCCTCCTCTGTTGCTCTCCCTGAGGTTTCTCCCATGTTCCCCTTTAAACTGTGGGTTTTTCTCTGGAAGTTTTTCCATGTACGATGTGAGGGTCTAAGGACAGAGGGTGTCATATTGTCATACTGATACTCTGTACAAACTGTGCTGTTGTATTTGTTGTAAAGTGTCTTTATTGTAAACTATTTTTACTGTATGTACAGCACTTCGGCTCGACCAAAAATCGTTTTAAAAATGTGCTATATAAATAAAACTTGATTTGATTTGATTTGATACAAAGTAATTCATAATAATGATACTAATATGTCTTACTGTATGTAACCTTCATGTAACCTAAGACCTATCCAAAAGTGAAAAAGAGAAGTGAATTGAAGAGAACACATATGAATGAACCCGCCCTGTGACTGACCGACAGCAGGATATATCTGTGGGGCATCAATTGATTGCAGGGCAAGTGATCTAATCTATCATAAACATTTTGCTAGTATGCATATGAGCTGGAAGCCATATGGTCAAAGTCCAAAGCAGCCTTAAAAACAGAGTGAGGACTGTCTGCATCAACACTGGAAACAGAGTATGTCATGTGTTGGTGCTCTGATGCAGTAACCTGCATATCTTTCTCTCACTATATGAAGTGTTACATGTAATCCCTTCACATCTGAGCATCAGGTGGAGTCCTGTGGTACTATGGAGATCTTTAATGTGATCTCTCTGCTAATGTGGTTATGCAACCTTCATGTTTGACTAGCTACCAAGGCAGCTGTGTGTACACATTGTGACGAATCCAAGTCTACCGTGCACATCAGTTGGTTTCTTATGAATTCTGCAGTTTGACAAGTTCACCATGACAACAAGAGGTCAAAATATAGCTTAATGTTTAAAGTTGTACTTTATTGCTACCAATACAATATGTACACCATGTATAGTGGGTCAGGGTTTTACAACTGTTCCTGAGCAGACAGAGGAGAGCATGCTGGGTTCAGGCTGATAACACTGTCCTTGATCTACTATAACATTAGCTGTGCACCAAACTCATCCTACATACAAGTGGTTGTGACAACTTATTGATTAGGTGGAATGAAAGATGGCAGTTACCGTGTTGTGTACTCTATTTCCTACGATATTTTAAAAAACTGACATATTGTGTGTGGGTGTAGGAGGGTTACAGACAGGAGCACACAGCTGATTTTATTATTTATCACATTTTTAATTGAACATACTATTCAGTGCTGCTTATATGTAAACTAGCATGCTTTAACCATTTAATATGTTATAGTTATTTTCAATCAGGTTTAGGTTTCTGTATATTATTCTTATCGTCTTTTTTAAAGGGTCATTCTTACTTAATAATAATAATAATAATAATAATAATAATATAACAAACAAAAATAAATAAATAAACAATAATAATAATAATAACATGTTCTTCCATTTTAGAGCCCAAGCGATGATGGTAGAAAAACATGGACAGATTAATCAATAACGATAATAATAATCCTTGGTTGTAGCATCATTTCCTTTTAGCAAATAATGGTAAGGTGTGTTGATTTATCGTAAAATAAATAAACTTTAAAGATTATAATGAAATAAGAATAAAAAATGTGGCACAAAACAATGATACAAAGAGATCTACACGGACAAACAGATCCAGGAATAAAATCAACCGGGCAAAAACCTCTAAAGGTGATGTGAGAACATGGTGTAGTTTATAGTGTAAATAATAATAAGTATTAGTATAGAAAGGCCTTCTGTCCCTTTTAGCCATATTGGCCAGGAACATGACATCTCTCTGGTCAGATGCTCCCGGTCTAGCAGGGATGGAAGGAGCCTCACACTGCTCCTCTTTGTGCTTTTCTCCTCCAGCTCATTAAAACCCACAACCTGCTGCCCAACCGGAACTACATCTTTGGCTACCATCCCCACGGGATTTTCTGCTTTGGTGCTTTCTGCAATTTTGGGACCGAGGCTACAGGCTTCTCTAAGAAATTCCCGGGCATCAAGCCCTCCCTGGCCACCCTGGCAGGAAACTTCCGCATGCCTGTGCTGCGAGACTACCTGATGTCTGGAGGTGAGAGGAAGTGGAGAGCGCTGGAGTGTGTTCTTCTTAAAGTCTGACACTGATACGTGTATCTGGGAGAGAGCGGACCTTTGTCCTGTTGCGCAGCTGGAATAGCGTCTGTTTACCTGGATTTGCTGATTTGACTGATTGATAGAGAGTTAACCGTTCTGTTCTGCAGGGCTGTTTGCATTTCAGCTTTACTCATAGATACTGTACATACACTCAGAGGTTACTGAAGGTCATTGCACATTGGACATTGTTGTTTCCAAAAGCTTCTTTGGTAAATCGCCTTCGTAGAATTATTTTGTGTTATGTTGTATTTAAGGAATGTTATTTGAGCTGCAATAGGTCAGATTTTGAACATCGTTTTATTAACATGCTTAGCTTAATTAGTTTCATTTTATTTTGGAGGTACTGCCGTCACAATATTGATTTTTCACCAAACTATTATCAAGGCAAAAATAATTCACAAAAACCATATTGCAATGTTTATGAAAATGTAAAAAAGCATTCTAATACTTTCTTTATTGTGCGTTATTTGTCCAGGAAATTAATTACTCTCAAAATTCTCTGCGACAAAGAGAGAACATAACCAATCAGCAGGAATAATTTAAGCAGTGCTGGGATATCAATATTACATTTTTTAATTCTCACACTTATTAGCAATACTGGCATATCCTTACACCCTTAGTACTAGACGTGTGGGCTTTGTTGCATATGAATGCATTAAGAACAATTCAAGTCCAAAAAAGACTGAGAATGATAATATCTTTATACATTTTTTAAATAGGAATACATAGACAAGTCAGTGTATTTTCCCCTGCAATACTTCTCTGCCACTTTTAATCATCTTTCCACATGTTGTTGTCCCTCTCAGGTATCTGTCCAGTGAACAAGAACTCCATTGACTACCTGCTGTCTCGTAACGGGACAGGGAACGCCGTGGTCATCGTTGTTGGAGGAGCAGCGGAGTCTCTGCAGTGTGCACCGGGCGTTAACTCCGTCACCCTGAAGAACCGCAAAGGCTTTGTGAGGCTGGCCCTGCAGAAAGGGTGAGACAAACAAGCACACACTCAGTTAACCAACCACAGCCGGGACCAAATCGGAACTGAACGTGAAAATGTCAGCATTCTCTGGGCTGTAGTGACTCAGTGGAATGAACATTTTAAAAGAGTATTACTCCCAGAAGGGTTAAATGAGCTTCAGCAAATCTTTTATGAATGTGCAGTGTTGGAGCTGCTGGTGGCCTTCAGAAGGGTCAGACTGGTGAGATAGCATTAACCTCCACCATGCGTTCATATCTATAACAAACTGTTCTATAAAAGCGAATGTTGGTGTCCTATTAGCCCCAAAAAGCCTTGTTATATAGTTGTGGCTTATCACCAAATAAGCTTAGAACATACGAGACGTGCAATACTGCACAACTTTATTCATAACAGCTACTGTAAGTTCGCATTCCAGCTGAAATAAGCCTCGGATATGAATTGAGTTACCTTTGGGTTAACTTTCTGGGTCTTTAGCTTGGCTTTGAGGCTTATAGAACAGAGATTTAAACTGCTGATTAAGTTCACTTAAGTTGCATTGCACCGGAAATGTTGTAAATAGTTTTAATAATTTATTATCACAAATGTATCTAAAGGCACTTTATCAGAAGTAGTATTTTCTGGTTGCTAAAAAATCTATTTTCTGCTCAACAAAATTATGTTTTTTTTGGGACATTTCGACTTTTGTTTTGTAAACTTCTGATTAGTTTAATCATTAAACAACTTTAATGCAACAGTGTGAGTGTGCACACAGCTCCCAGGATAAGTAACCTTTGATGAGGAGTCGTGAGTTCACTTTGAATTTCTTTAAAAAGTCATACAACAAAAAGGTTGGGACCTTCTAAATTAAGTAATCAAGCTTCATGAAAAACGTCCACAAATATTTACATTGAGCAGTAATTAAGTTAAGAGTTCCAAAAGTTTAACGGTGCAAAAGCTTCTTTTGAAATGTTTGGGCAACTGATCAAATTTGACATCTGAAGCTTGGCTATAGGTCAAGGTACATTTATTTTCAAGGCAACAGCAAGTGATTGCATGAACCTTATCGTACCTGCTTACCCAACAAGACCTTGGCTGTTCACCAATAATAACTCTACTAATTTACAGTAGATGCACACAAACATGAGAAATGTCTGTGATTTTGCAAACTGGAAACTACAGAACACTCAGAGTACATGACTGACTGAATGATGATCACCACACAAAACCAACAAATGCTTTTTTGGATGATTTTGTTCTTCTCTGGGCCTGTCAGTGATGTAGAGACATGCATATTAAAAATACAACATCCAGTTCTGATGGTTATCACAGATGAACATTGATATAAAGGAAGACTTCAAGTGCCAAAATAGTTTTCAAAGCCAATAGATTTACATATTATATACAGTATATATACAGACTGTTCAAGATTTACAATTCAAAGGCTTTATGGTCATATGCACAGCAGCTACAGTGTAGGCGATCTTAAGTCCCAGGCTCCTCCAACAATGCAACATAATATATATATATATATATAAGACATAAAACAATACAATAGTGCAAGAAGAAACAGAGTAGAATAAAATAGTGCAGATTATGTTGCAAGACCAATGTGCAACTAATGCAGGAGAAGTAAACTATACATGTCAAATAAATTACAATAAGCTGAATATTGCAGAGAATGTTGTAAATGCAGGGAATATGATATATACAAATAAAAAATCCTGGCAAAAAATGTAGGTCAAATAAATAATGGCATAACACGTTTTTTTGAGAGTACATGTAGGGACAGTGGTTAAGTCCTCCTCTGTGTCTCCTCAGGTCCGACCTGGTTCCCGTGTATTCCTTCGGAGAGAACGATGTCTACAAGCAGGTGATCTTCGAGGAGGGGACCTACTGGAGATATCTTCAAAAAAAATTGCAGAAGATCTTAGGCTTTGCCCCGTGCCTCTTCCATGGATGTGGCCTGTTCTTTGGTGACTCCTGTGGCATCGTGCCTTATGGCAAGCCTATCACCACCATAGGTAGGTTTGTCTTGTTTGGTTAAAGGGAATCACAGTTTGTTGCAAAGTGTCCACAAACTCTGCGATTTTTGTACATTACAGTTGACAGTTTAACAGACGGGACAAAGTCGATATTTGCTATGTGTGACTTCGAGGCTGTATTTATGGTTCTAAGAATTTCAACTGTACTTTGTCTGATGAACTCTTTGTTTTAATCCTCTCCTCTTCTGTTATAGTTGGGGAGCCAATCACAGTGCCAAAAATTGAGGATCCAACTGACGAGATGGTGGATCTGTACCATACAATGTACATCAAGTCTCTCCAGTGCCTTTTTGACAAGTACAAGACCCGCTCTGGCCTGAAAGAGAGCGACGTCCTGTACATCCAGTGAAAAGGATGGGGTCTATGTTGAATGTCTGAACTGTGACAGCACCTTTCAAGCCCCTCCTGCACATTTCCCCAACCCATCCCCATCCTATCTTGGTGCCTGTTTTTTTATATCTCTGGACTGCAAATTACACGTTTGCTAAAGAAACCTTTGCTCTCTGCGTGGATTCACACAAATAGGAATGCTTGCTTCTCAGGAAATGGCAGGTTGGAAGGACAGTCACCTCTCTTTGCTGCTGTTATCAGGTTAAGCATCTTGGTTGGACATCAAATCCCACATCAAAAAGCGTGCCAATGTTTCTATTATCATGCTCAATAAAGGCATCATGTGTGGGCTGTCTTATCACTGCAGAGGGGGCGGAGTTCCACTAGATGGAGCTAGAGTCACACGCAGGACTTGAGAGAAGTGCCAATGCTTTTGCTGAGTTGCACTCATGCAGCCATATAATTCTCCCTCTGCTCTTTCAGATCCTGTTATATGCTAAATGCACAACCAATGCAAATGGAAGATACCACTTTATTATTGGGATCATAAACCCACATTTTAATTGAGCCAAAGACCTCTGCTGTCCCCACACAGGAATGTACTTCATATGTATGAAAGCCACCCGGTGAAGGAGTTCTGCAGGGTGGATTTATATTGTGAGTGCACAGTACATGCGTGATTCTATAATGCCATGAAGTATTAATTGTATTCTGTGGAGTGGAAGAAACTTTAGAGTTTGTCCCTCAATGGATATTTCTGATGCACTTTTTGTATTGCTGATTACCTTCTGAGGTTTTTGTGCCTTTTGATATGATATTCTTCCAAGACAGTCAACATGCTGGCTTGATTTCCCTTTTTTGTCCCACTGTTGTCCAGGTCTGGATGGGTTTGTTTTGTATATGCAACAAAAAACTCATGTTGCATATCCAAAGGAAGGGATTGTTGGTTAAAATCCTGCATGTTAGATGATTCCACTGTACAGCGAATCTCTTTGTAACCGTGCCATGGGTGATAATTGAAAAGAAGGGGATTAAAAGAGTGTTAATACAAGCATTATGATATGTTAGAGGGTGTCACTAATACTTTTTTTTAAATAAGAGTATGTAAGAAAATAATATATATCCTGGAAATTATCAAAGTAAGTAAGCTTGTGTCATGTTGTACACAAAGATGAGCAATACATGCTAAGATTGTGATTTGAAGAGAAGCTTATTCTGGTTTCACCATTGTGCCTTCTTATAAAGAGCAGTGTAATCAATGTGCAGGAAAATTGCAAAAAATAAACAGGCCTGTCAATATGATGAATGGCATCATTTGTCTGCTGATATTTAAATTAAACTTTTGTATGTTTTCAGAAGAAGATGTGTATGTTTGTCTGTCTTGTTTTTGGAAACATTGACCCAATTCTCATATATTTACATATTTTATCAAATTTACCTCGAGACAATCCATTATTTGATTATGAGCATTTTAAGCCACTGTGGAACCTCAAAATAAGCCCTAACCATACAAATGCTGCCAAAAGCTGTCAGGCTAAGACATGTATCTCAGATCAGATCATCTGACAGAATCATATATACAGTTATATTTGACTGCACAGCAATTTTATTGACTGGCTCAAGGGTTTGACAATTCAAGTATAACAGGCAGTGTTGGAAGACGCTTTAGTATAAATAAACTTGCCTTGCCTTAGTGCCTTATTTCCCCTTATTATAAGAAATCTGAGCAATGAGCTGCCAACAAATAAATGAAACCCTATGGAAAGCTGTGATGTAGGCTGTTAAAGAATATTCAATTATCAAACATAATTTACCTACATTTGATTGATTTTGCTAACATAACTTATGAGGCAATATACCTCCTCACCTCTAGTGAGGGGCCAGCCCTTCGTATGTTATTCTGTATGTGGCCCTCAGTGAAAACATTTAGAAAATGTTGAGATTAAAAATGTTATGTCAATATGATTGAAATATTGATGTTTTTTAATATGTGTATATTGTACACCAAAAAGCCGATTTAGCTTGCAGGGTCTATTGCATATACACAAAACAGAGCATTCTTAATTTCAGAAAATATCAACTTTTGTGAATCCATGACGTTGTGGAAAAAGACCTCCATGTGTCTCATGCTTCCCCCTGATGGTTGATCAATCATTTGCAACCAGGATGATCAAGGCTTACACAAACCCTTCACATGGCCTATAGAGAGGCGAAGTCCCTCCCTTTCCGATGGACCTCCATGGGACCTTATTTCGGAAAAAATTATGGATTGAAGTCAATTAGCCGCTTTCACACCAAGTACTTTGCCGTACTTAGTTCCCAGCACTTAGTTCCCAGCACTTAGTACCCCCATGGAACTAAGAGCCGATCGCGTTCACACCGGAATAAGTCCCTGAGGAAAGATTACGCAAATTAAGCCGCTGACGTCACTTCTTCTTCTTCTGCTTTGGGTTTACTGGCAGGCCGCAAACAACTTCACGGCGTATACTGCCACCCGAAGTCCCCGGAGATGGGGACTTCGGGTGTACCTGGGGACCTTCCGAGTAAATCGCCAGAACTCCGACACCTCCTCATCACTCCACCGCTCCCATGTTTTTTTTTGTGTTGCCATAAGTTAGTCTCTCTCCGTTGGTGCGCGGGGCTAATGCTAATGCTAATAATGCTAATGCCAGCAAATACAACGGCGGCTTCACAAAACTTTTCTGAGTTTTACGGGGCGTGGTTTGCAATTCGCCCAGCCAATCAGAAATTGGAACTTTTTTTCCTCCAGGAAAGTACCACCTCTCTAGCAGGCACTAAAAAGGGGGGAAAAGTTCTCATGAACTAAGTTATTTTTTTGGTGTGAACGCAAAATCCCAGGAACTATCGGAACTAAACGGGAAAAGTACGGGGAAAAGTACGGGGAAAAGTACGGGGAAAAGTGTGAAAGCGCCTAATGGCGAGAGAAAAGTTATCTTTCGATCCCGTTTGAATTGTGCCACCAATTACACATATGATGTTTGTCAATTTAAAAGATAATTTTGCAAGTAAAAAAAAAAATGTTTTGCCGTAAAACTGTGAAGTAAGACTTTTTTTGTGTGAAACAAAAATGAACTACATCTCTGGTCTCGCACAACAACACACGTCACCAAGATGGCCGTCACTACTGTCTTGCCAAAAAAGGGATTGACTACCCTCACTATCACCACAATGAAACACGTCCAGAAGAATGTCATGCAAAGCTGCCTGCCTTCGATTCTCCCTGAACTTTTTAATGTTGAATGTTAACCATTTGTGCAGATAGCATGAAGTAGAAAAGAACGAAAGAACGAGCAAGACCCATTGCTGGTATGATAACAACCTGGTACTAAGCACACAGGCATCTTGTTAAAGTTATCTTATGTTAGCTATCTCTTATATTTAGTGGAGGAAAACAATTATGACATCAGTTATGACATCACTTTTGCGACTCTGGGATTTGTAGTCTTTCTAGTTGCATATTTTTCATAGTCTTATATTTCAACAGTTTTACGACAAACTGTGACTTTTTTGACATGGAAATTATTTTTTAAGATTGACAAACATCATATGTGTAATTCAAGGCACAATGCAAACGGGATCGAAATATACGTTTTCTCTCCCCATTGACTTCAATACATAATTTTTTCGAAATAAGGTCCCATGGGTCGGAAGTAGATGGGCGGGACTTCGCCTCTCTATGGAGGAGAAGAAGTTGGGATCCAGGAGTAGTGGAACGTGTTACTATTCAAAACCCCCACTCTACTACAGTGTAATATTATTATTTTAATATAGGCCTACTACTACATTTATCTTATATATATATATATATATATATATATATATATATATATATATATATATATATATATATATATAGTTAAGTGTTATCTTACCATTTTACATACAAAATATATTACATTTTTACAGATTTAACTTTCCAACAGTTTGTAGCTATTGCATTTTTAGCCTGTAATTAAGTTTCAGTACTTTCTCTATCTCTGGGCCTAACCCTCCTGTTGTGTTAGTTTCCCCCCCCTTACTTTGGTGTTCACGGTCAAATTTGACCGGTCCTGTTTTTACTGCTATTACATTAACACAAAAACCATTAATCATCACCAAATTTCATTTAACACCCTTTCAAACTGTAAATATTGTATCAGACTGGTATACATGAAAAACTGCAATATACAAAGAATAGACACTGAACATGTATTGCATGCGCCAGGTGTGATGGGTGTGATCCATGTGGGGGGATCGGCACATAAGAGCGGGAAATGTATCAAATTGTTCTGTGTGTGTGTGTCTGTTTATGTGTGCCAGGTGTGATTCACATGGGGGGATGGGCACATAAGGGGGGGGGGGAACACATCTAGTGTATGTGTGTGTCTGTCTGTGGGTGTTTGTGTGTGTGTTTTATCTGATCCGGATGGTTACTAATTCCTTTTCTTTATGGCGGTCATTTTTGACCGGGAACACCATGGGTGTTACAAAGTTGACTAAATCATCCAAAATTCAATGAAAGGGGTGATCAGCAATTTGATATGTTCAAATGTCTACTGTGAAGGATATCATAAAGCCTTAATGCAATCGAATGTAAAAAAAGTTATGATTGTAGTAAATCGGTCAGATTTGACCCGAACACAACAGGAGGGCTAAGTGTTCTTTCCCCAGCTGCTTGGTAACAATAATAATGTTGACTGGTTCATAGAGCATATTCAGACTAGGTAACACAACTCTGACATCCGATGTTTCAAACCCACTAATGCAACTGAAGGTGCCCCTTTAATGCGCTGTTGGTATATGACCTAATGTTTGTCTACTTTGAGATCAGTTACATAAAGTTGACAAAAGCCCCCGGGAAAGCCAGTAGATAATATAGTATATTATGTTATAATATACTATATTATCTACTGTACTATACTATATTTGAATAATTTGTGTCACTTTTTGTACCAGCTCTAATTGCGATTAGATGTAAAAATGGATCTGGGTGCTACCATTTAACTGTCACCTGCATGTCACGTTGTTCTATGCAATTTCCTTATATTTTGCAGCTTTGACAGATTTCAACGAACAACCGCCCCAACCTGGAAGATGGACAGATAAAATAACCAATAGCATCTTGTGTTTTCAGTAGCAGGCACCGCTTCTACATGACAGGCGTCAGCATCAGCCAATCAGCAGCCTAAGTATTGTACCTCCCACTCGGAGACGGATTTCCGAACCAAGTGTAGCAAAATCGCCTGTACTTTGTTTACGTCCCGTTGGTTAGCTGACAGTTGTTGTAGCGCTTTACTCTCACAAACAACCCTGACTGCATGGCTTTGCTGGTTGCCTCAAGCTTCCTAAACTTTAAACCGAGTGTCCTGGATGTCCTGGATGTGATGTTTTGTTGAATGAGGGGGACCCGCTAGATACCGACAGGAGGATGAACTCCATCACCGGTCGGGTTCTTGCCATCCCCGCCGCCTCTGTCACCAGCTCTGGAGCTTCATCCTCTCGAGCCTTACATGTAGAGCTGACATCCCAGCAGGTAAATGCAAAGCCTCTGAGAGCATATTAACACGAAATGCATTAAATGAAACGGGACAACTTTGAGTATATGTCTTATATAGTAGTTTCCAACGTCAGTTACAACTGCTGCCTGGAAAACACGGCAGGCCTGTTAGGCTAGCTAGGTAGCTAGCAACGGCTAGCTTACAGTTAGCTAGCTTACTGGGAATTAATGTCACTTGACTTACAAGGCACACCAACACAAGTTAGAATTGTGTTTAAGACCGACTTTCTACGTGTGTTGCCATATTTTAAGGAAACATATTATTCGACACGTTTAATTGTGTACGAAGCTAGTCTGCCAATGGGAACTTAATTTAGCGTTATGTCAGCTCGCAGGTGACAGCTCAGTTAAAGGGAAACGGTGGCATGTGTCATCACTGCGAGGTTATATTTTCTAATACAGTTATTTCGATTATTAAAGTGTTATAAAAGTGAGACCATGAACACATTTAATTGTTGCCTCTTTGGAAGCTTAGGAAATTCATCTTACAACCATCAATCTAGCCATTCAGTCATTCATTCATTTGGAAATGACATGAGAACAGTATGCAGTTCATTCATTAGGGCTACCGGCCTCAGATTGTTAAATCTACCCCTCACAGGCACCTCTCATTCCCTGTCATGTCAGTTGTAGTTAGATATTGACTGTAGTGGTTTTAGCTATCCAAGTTGTTGGATATTTTTCTTCATATTGTGCAGTTTTAAGAGCAAACCCCTGATCTTCATCCAGTGAGTCCAGCAACTACATACAAGTGCTTCTTGGACTTTCTTGGAAGTTACTGTACTTACCTACATCAGACCACTAGAGTCATCATTACTAATCCAATGATATACATTACAGTAGAGAACCCTTACCGTATGTTGCTCTACATGTACAGCAAAAGTGTAAACATAAGGTGACTTTTGGAAAGTCTAACTTATTTTACAATAGGTCCTCTATTAAGTTTTGTCTTGCACCAGTGTTTGACTACCTTTTAGTTTGCATTAGATTGACAATATGATAAAAATGCTTAGTGTCAGTTTAAATTCAAAACTAAGTCAAGAGTTCAGAGTAAACCAGAGTTTACATATTGCATTTATTCCAGATTAAAATAGACACATTATCAATGGTAATCTTTGAAGATCTGACATGCCGTTTGAAGTGTTCAGACATGATTGTAGCATTAACACAGGAACAGAAATCTTGCCACATTCCAACCACACTTTATTTTCAAGGATCAGTTCACCCATATTACAATTCACATGGTTTCTCTCTTACCACGTGGTGTCTTGCCATTCAAATAGCTCCAGTTTTGAGATTTGAAAATGGGACTGAACTTTCTGCAGCCACCACAACACAATGGAGAGATGAATGGGCTTTTTGTTTGCGCTCCTTAAAGCATGTGCCTTTTTCAAGATTGATCTGCAGTCAAATGTATTTACTTTCATTATATCTACTTGGCACAGAGACCAATAAAGAGACAGATCTCAAGACATAAGGAACTAAATAAAATGTATGTCCCTTTGTGTTAGGCCGATTGACCAGTTTGAAATCCCTCTGCATTTTTATATTTAGCCTTTATTTATATAAATATCATTTTCATATCCTCACATGATTGATCTATGACCACGTGAATATCATAAAGGCATTAGGGTTTCTACAAGGCACTTCTAATTACAGCCAGCATGAACATTTTGTTGATATGAGCAGCACTAAATCCTATTTCCCAGCAGCACTAATCCAACAATTGCACTGGTACGGCACATCAGCTCCATTCTGAAATATACAGATAAATCTGTCTTTTCAGATGACATTAGATTGCTTCAATTGACCCTTCTCTGGCTCCATAATGAAACCTTGTCATGCTGGCCTACAGAAGCAGCATATCCACTGAAGGCTGAACTCAGGGGAGATGCTTCATGTAGGAGTTTTAGGGGGCTTGTGCCTTCTTTTCTTACGTGGTATGAAAACTGTGTGTGTTCATGAAAAAAAACACAAGGCCAAAAATGTCAAACTGCAGCAATCCGATATACCAATGTGAAACGCAAACACAGTGCTTGCTCTAGATGTGTGTTCTGAATACATTTAAATATCACAGCTTTGTTGACAAAATACTTTTCGCTTTTGTGTAATATAATTATATTTTGATTTCATTTAATAAACTATTTTGGGATCTGTTATTTGTTATTCCCAACAGATACATTTATGGCACAATCGATGGTATGCAGCACATGTCATTTAAATATTGAATAAAATGCTCTTTTTTTGAAGCAACAATGAAGAGTTTGCACTCCCAAATACTTCACTACTATTTGAAACATAATACATTTTTGTTATTTCCTATTGCATTTATCCATAACCAAAGACCATGTAGAACACAGTTCTCTTTTGACTATGTGTATACCTAAGGCAGCCATGAAACCGTAACCCAGTTGCAAAATCTTGCTTAGTCATTTAGCTTGTGCACTTTTTGTTGTTGTTGTACTTTGGCCAACTTGGTCACTCTTTGTTGAGGCTATGCCACATTTGAAAATCAAACTTGATCTTTCTGTTGGAGAGCTTGAATGTGCACATCATTTGATATATTAGCCATATATAGCATATATTATGCTCAATTCTCTATTTATTTACTACAGCCATATGAAACAATGTTATATTATTGACACTAGACTAACTATTAGAATGCCAGTGAATAAAAGCCTGCAGACTACACACCATAACGTTTCAATTCAGTTTGAAGTTAACACATCTCAACAAAGGTAGGCTTTTTTAAGTTTTAGTGTAGTTTTAGTGTCGTTTTAGTATGCATGTTTTGTCAGTTCTATCCATTTCAGGAATCCCCTTCCTGAGACTATTTTAAGAAAGAGTTTTGATTTAGCTTGCCCTGTAAGTGTGGTGTCTGTTCATGGTTAACATGAGCAGAAGGCTTGTGACCAGATAATCACTTTGCCACAGTAATCATTTTGTCACATACCCCCATCAGACACTTTGTGACATGTAGGGGACTAACGGGATGTTAGGATAATATGGACTCTGATATCAGGGTACTTTTGCTCTGCAGAGCCCAGCTCACCAGAGTAGTTTCACAATATGTCCTCACAACCTTTTCTCTCTGCCTCCACATTAGCCCTTTCATTTTTGAAGAGGGGGTCAAAAGTCTCTTGTGGAACAATCTGAGTTTCTGTTGGTGAGGCCCTTAATCTTCTAGGGAGTCCCATGACTTGGATTTAGTCTCAGTATGGCTGCAGGACAGAATCTGTGCAGTGGTAACGTGTTTGCCTGAAGCCTGAACTTGCCAAATGCCAGATCTTTTTGCTACAGATTCTAACCATTGCAGTGACCACTGCAAATACATTTTAAAAAGCTCGTCTTTGGATTCATATCCAAACAATGCAGACTTGTTTAGAGATTTACTAATGATTCATGACGATTTGTAGCTTTTAAAGTCTTTACTTGTCTTAACTGTGGTTGTGTCTTCAACATTGTCTTTTGTTCTGTGTGGAGTGCCATTCTAAAAATGATGGCTTTTTCGGCATCTCTTTCATTCAGATTCATTCTTTGATTCTTTTGATCAGAATAATTGCAGCGCTAAAAATGTTGATACCCTTCTCATGTCACTCTCATGACTAACCATGCCTGCCGAGTTAACTGCCTACTTATTTCTACCATGAAGATGTCATGCCTCTATTTTTTGAACTGCTGATAGATAGCAGACCAGACAGCAGGCATGATAAATAACTGCTATTTTATGATGTTAATATATATATATATATACTTCTTTGATCTCTAAAGGCTGTGAACCAGTCTTCTGTGTCTTCAAAACAGCAGAGATAGTATTTGCCATCACATGATAAGAGTGAAACTAAATACAGCCCTTATATCCTCACTTTCTCTCTGTCTCTTTCTTACTTTTTTCTAACAGAGGCGATTGCGTCATCTCCGGAGCATAGCGGCCCGGAACATTGTGAACAAGAATGGTTCCCCACTGCTGGACACATACTTCACCCTGCATCTCTGTATAGGAGAGCGCATCTCTAGAGGTCAGTGCTCATCCCCTGTCCCTCCTCTCTGTGAGCTGACAATGGGCAACATCGCATTATGTACTACATCTTTCATATGCACACCATGTATGTTTCCCTTTGCCATGTTCTCAAAATAAGGAGAACCATGTCCTCCCCATATGAACAAAAGTAGCTACTACATGTTAAAAGAAAGCTATGGACAAATCTGACAATCTGAATTGTTTTAAGTTTGTGATGCTTAAATAGAATGTTTATTATCGCAATTATTTTGTAAACAACATGTAGCATCTACGACTACGGCTGCACAATTATTCTAAATGTCATCAGAATTGCAATATGAACTTGTGCAATATTCAAATCACAATATTTGTTAAAGTCTAAATACAAGTTACAATTCCATTTTGAATAAAGTATTGTGAGGCTGCAGAGACACTCCATCCTACACATAGTATTCTACAAACTTTACAAAACATATTTGTTTAGTACAGATCCTATTCAAGTGATTTTTGAAAAGGTCTCCTGCAGCCCATTATGTCATCAGATGACACTTTATGGAGTGGACCAGTGAGCGTGCTCTTTGGAAGTCTTTACAGCATTTAAGGGTTATTCATTAAGAACATTTCCATATAATGCCATTAAGTCACTGTGGTGATCTTACTGTGTTTTGGCTCAAGATGACATTACCGTTACTGCCTTGTGTATCTGCTGACAGTTTGGCTTCACTTATTGAAGCTGAGCTTTCAAATCAAGTGACATTTTATTTATATTGATCAATTAGACAAAATACATTTGCCTCAGGGAGCTTTACAGTTTGTACATTTCAACAAACATTAATGACGGTAAAAACACAATAGAATTACAACATAGACAATCTACATCGACATTGCTTAAGGCCAGCTGAGCCAGCCCTAACTATAAGCTTTATATAAATAAACTATAGAAGAAAATCATAAGCTTGCTCTTTAGTGCCGAGAGGGGTCTTCCTCCTGAACACACAGTGAGAGCTGGTTCCAGGAAGAGGCGATGGATAGCTGAAGGACATTGGAGACTCTAGGAACCACTAACGCCCCTGCATTCTGCGAAAGCATTTACAGTAGTAGATTGTATTTCAGTGTCAATTGAACCTGTTTTGTTGTCCATGAGAGTTTTATACCTTCTTTTAACCAGCATTCTTTGATTTCTTTTTAGATTTTTACAAGAGTGAAGTCATACGAGACTCGCTGGTGAGTATACTAACTTAAACCTTTAAAGGTCCCATGTCATGCTTTTCTGGTTATTACCCGTCCCCTTGTGTGTTATGAAGGTTTGTATGCATGTAAACGGTCTGCAGAGTCACAAACCCTCAAAGTACACCCTGTAGCGAGTAAAACTCTAACACAGAAAAGACCTGTCTATGCTGCCCCAGAACGCCTCGTTGGAGATTTCTCATTTTCTTCCTGGGTACAGTGACGTGCCCATACCCAAATGGACCAATCGGTGGAGCCGTTACGTTACGTCCGCGGAGTCGTTACATTTGGACCAATCCGCGGACTTCCTCACACACACACACACACTCAATCTTTTCTCAGCTGCAGCTCCGTCGATTTCTCCTCCCTGAGACGGCGGGACGCGGCGAGGCTGTGAGTCGGTGTGTGAGCACACACACAAACTCCCAGCCAGGCTGCGGGTGTGTGTGTGTGTTGGGGCTGGGTTTCGCTGTGTCTCGCTGTCTCTCGCTGTCTCGCAGACGGGCTCACAGGGAGGGGGGGGCAGGAGCTCCAACAAGCCGTGTAGGACAGAGAGTGAATACACATACTATACAGAGACGCTGTTTGAGAAACCAATGTGAGTTTGGAACATTGAACAATATAAATCTATTCTAGTATACCTCAACAATGGAATTATGATCAGTAGAAATGGCCATGACATGGGCCCTTTAAAGTATTCATGTCTGCCCCTGGGAGAGGATCAGGATGATGTCATTAGCTGCAGCCTGGTCATTATACGCATCACTACCATGACTGAAGACTTCCTGTATTTTACTGACGCCAAGGCTGGCATTTATACCTGCTGCCTTTCTGCAGGTCACGCTTTTATTCACCTCTGGACTTGTGCTTTTGCTATATTCTTACTTAAACTGGTTTTCAAACATCAGTACACTAAAATGTATGAAACAGTCTTGCAACAGAAATGGAATGGTATATGTGCCGTTCACTTACGCAACTGTGTCTGCTGGTGTGTAAGTTGTGTAATGACTGATGATTCTTTGTCTGTTACTTCTCTTATTTGCTTGCCAATGCAGTTCTGCACAAAGCTATAGAAGCTGCCAAGCAGAGCAAGCTGTACATGTTGGGCTTGCTGCCGAGTCATGAGCTGACCTAAGCTGCTTTCCAGGCATACTTTGAGTTTCCTCTGCAGACAGATAGTGTGTAAGGCGCTGCAGGAGTCATGACTCCTGTCATTTCTCCCCCAGCTTCCTCCAGTTCAATTTAACATCCTTGTCATCACTTCCCGTCTTCCTGTTTTTATTCTAACTGCTATGCCCCTTTTTCTTCCGCTACTCACTCTCACTAGTTCTGTTTTCTACCCCCCCTCCACCATATGAATTGTACTTCTGCTTTTGACATTCCCTCCTTTCCAGCCTGTCCTTGAAAGTGACCCGAGGAGCAGGAGATTATGTCTCTGATGAAGGGAAATGGTACATAATTGAATGATGTAAATGGCTACAGTTCCTCGTAGAAGCAGTACTTAGTGCTGTCAGCTTGGAAGTTCAAGGACAGAATAGTAACTGTAGTTGGGCTCAGACATTAAGGTTAATGTAGAACAGGATGATTACATTACTTAAATTGTAAAGGGATCCTTTAGGATATTGAATTTGACAGCGGTACCCCGCACTTGATTTCAGGTTTTAATTCAAACTCTTCACATTCAAAGTGATTTGTATTTTCTTTAACTGTCTGGATCAACGGTAGCTTAGTTGAAATGTACTGCCAATCCTCACGTGTGTGTATATATGTGTGTTTGCCAGAATCCAACTTGGCGCAGCCTGGACTTTGGCATGCTGCCGGACCTTCTGGACACCTCAGTGTCTTGCTTCGTGGTGCGGATCTGGGGAGGACAAGAGGAACAGTTCCAACTCCTCATAGAATGGAAGGTCAATCTGGATGGCCTCAGATACACAGGACAGCAGGTCAGCAACATGCACATGGAAAGGATAACAGTAGAAGCTATTTGTATAATATTCCATTTTGCCAAAAGGTTCCCCGTTTGATAGAACTGTGCACAGGCTGCAAAGAGATGCATACAGAAGTGGTGTGAGCATGACTTACAGCTGCCATTTGTACATATGGTCTTTAAGGCACGTGAAGGATAGTGTGCACAAGTAGTTGTTTTACTATCTACAAATATATTTGAGATCAAACACACTTTTTTTACAACTGAATTTTCTCAGTTTTGAAAACAGAGTTTCAACACAGAACTTTATTCTTTACATTTTGGCCTTGGGATCAAACCTATCAAATGAGGTACATCAAGCTCTGAGTTTTGCCTTTTTATTTGACTAAATCACAGCAAAGCAGAGTCTGCCGTTCATTTCCTGAAGATGATATGAATGGCAATTAGGAAAAACCTTGCAGCTTATGCAAGAGTCAATACTTCAAATGAGGTAGAGTCATCTATTAAAAAGATGCATTTGATGTATGAAATGATCTGCTTTACTTTGATGCCATGCAGTCAAAAGTTTGACCCTTCAGTAAATCCCATATTCTCAAAAGTGATTGAAGTTTCTGTACTTCACTGCATCTATTCACCTTTTCTGTTCTCTATTAAATACACAGTTTGTTTTTGTTCAAAAAAACAACTTGTTTCACTCACTTCAAAACATTAAGCTGATACAGTATGTGGGTAAATATTTGACATAACTGTAAATAACCATTTCTACCACTGTATCAAACGCATTGCAATCGGTTCACTGTCATCAACATGGAATTGATTGCATGACTTTCTTTTCCCCCTTTATACATCAAATGAAAAGTGTAGCAGATGAGGTCAAGTTATTTTGCAATGACATTATGTTGCAATATTAGGGTAACGATGTTAGAATGAGATCAACGTGTTTGTACTTTGTGATCTCTATGCTCTGGTATGAGCAGTACAACGTGTGCTGATGTGGAATGTTTGAGGACTGAACAACAAGCACTTTGAATTGAGAGTTTTTCACACTGAAACTCTCATTCATAAAATCAAACTAAGCTATTGCAAAATCACTTAAAGAACTCTGTTACTCTCATTCTTTCGCAGTGAGACTAGTTTCAACGCCCGTAAACAGATAGCTCAGTCTCACGCTCAGCCAGATGCCCGCTGTCCTTTGTTCTCTGGTCTCAGTCCCTGCAATGAGCCTCTTCTGCCTCGCTTTGTCCACAGATTCGATCCAGGAATCCAAATGAGATCATATTTGGATTGAATGATGGCTGCTATGCAGCTGACTTTGATCATAAGGTACAGCCTTTTGTCAATTATTCAGAGCTTCTGCCTTATAATGGGATACCCAGTCCTAATCTTATTAGCTTTAATCGCTCGCTGTTTGGCCTTCTGCACTGAAACTCTCCCATGTGGCTGTTCCAGGATCAGTCGGAGCGGAAGAAAAACAGCCTGCTTCAGGTCGACCTGAGTTCAGTCCGGAACTCCTACAGCGTTTTCTCTTTACTCAGGTAAGAGTCATGCCATGTAGCAGTATTACATCATGTTTCATCGTCATTGTATCATCTTTTGGAATCTATACACCCAACATCCATTACACGTCTGTCTGCCTGGGAGAAGGATCCTCCTCTTTGCTCTCCCTACCTTCAAACGGAGGTCTAAGGACACAGTGTGTGCAGGGTATGCTGCACACACTGTAGCCCTCTGTGACAAATGTGTACTTTGTGATATTGGGCAATTGATTGCTTGATTTCCTATCACATCATTAGGACTCCTTGTTCAGAATGCAGCAACCTTTCCTCAGTCCATTTTTGGGGAAAAAAACATGCTTTGATTTTAAACCAAAAGTTTTTTATTTCTTTTTGATGCGTAATTGGTCATGTGATTATACTAACTCCTATTATGTGTATTGCATGTATTTCTTTTAGCAATTATATTCCAGCAGATGGTGCCACAGGGAAGCCCAGTTTTTGATTCTTCATCAGAAAAGCTCTCACAGGCACCAACTTTATTTAAAGTCACCTAGTCTTTAGTCTAGACTTGATTTGTTGGGCATGATGAGTCAAGTATATGGATCTTTTTAAACAGTACATCTTTATAAAGGCACCTTGTCATCAGGCCAGTGTCAGACTTGGGATTCTGATTTGATTTTAAAGTACACTCTGTTGAATGTGAGAAACAGCTGCAATACAATGTGCTACCACAAGGGGGAGACAAAGGTTTGCTGAGCAAGTTGCTTGCAGAAGGGGAACCCTTGTGCAGTAGTTAAGAACTTAAGACGACACAAGGCACTTCTGACATCTGTTGACAAACATGGCCGTGTTGTTCCGCATTTAGATTTAAACGTGGAACAACGTAAATACCACTTTCAACATCCTCAGGGCTTCCCCAGAGGGAAACCCTGTTAAAATACCCCCAGCACTTAAAAACTCAATTAAACCTGGTTTTAACTGAATCAATGTAATCTAGACGCTTTGATTGGACGTTTCCAAAATAAGATCAAGATCCTGTCATTAAGAGGCTTTCCACTGAGATGTTCCGACTATAAGAATGAAATAGGGGGACATAAATGCATCACAGGCCTTTACAGTATCCAGAAAAAGGAGTTTTGCCAAAGCCAGCTGAACTTAAACAGTCCCAGTTTGAATCATAACTTTTATGACCTCTGCTCTCGCTTCTTTTATTATTGCAGCTTTCTTCCACATCCTCTTCTTCTATCCACACCCAGTGGGACTCTGTGGAGTTGAACACAGTTACATTGATCCCCTCTTCCCACACACTGCTCTGCCTGCAGCTCCTCACCCCTGTCACTGTTTCTCCTTGGCTTGGTGCACTCATATGCACATGTTTTATGATTAGGTAGTGTAGAATGATTCATCAGATATTGTACACTCCAACAGGGATTACCCTACCACCCCCCATAGCACATAACCATATATACCACTCAGCCTCTGTCCCGCAGAGAGCTTCCCGTTTCAAAGTGCATTTACTTGCTGAATGATTCAGGTGAAGGGACGCTCATGTGTTGTGTCATTGTCTCAACTTCGTGGTTGCATGTTTTCGTGAATGATGAAGGATTTTTCATCATGTAATCGGGTGAAAAGTGTTATTCTCCTTAGGTCATCTCATTTGTATTGTGCCTTTTTTGGACTATTTATGTATTTTTGATGCATGTCCACCCAACTGTCTCCCACTGTGTTTTAATGAAAAAGGATAAAGGCAGCTTTGCTAAGAATGCGCTGGTCTTGATTAATGATGGTAATTTGTCAGCGGATTCACAGTCTGCTTTTCAGCCCCGGCTTTAAAAGACCCATCGTCTGTGTGAGTAACGTGGTGATGTGGGCGAGCAAACACAACACGTCTCAGATGGAGAGATGAAGAGGGAGAGCACAGATCATCAATCAGCAAAGTGGTGTCTCTTCCAGGCCTAGATAGAGCCAGAGCCACATCCTAAATAGAGCTAGGCCCCTTTCTGGGTAGAAAGAAAGAAAAGTAGACGGTGACGGACGAAGATTATCCAGCTGTTGAACAAGATTTGATGTAGACACTATTAATAGGTTCCTCTGTCCTACCAGTAAAATGTTTGATGTTTGAGAAACAGAGAAACAACGACTTTGATCACATAACTGAGCTTTATATTTGTTCAAAAAAAGAGTTGACATTTCAATTCAAACCTAGAGAAATCCCTCATTTCAAGGGAAGTCAATTTCAAGCTCATTTCTGGAAACGGTCCTTTTCATTTGGTTGAATGTAATGCATACCCTTTGAAAAGTGTCAGCACTGTTGTTACATCAGTCACAAAATGACCTTTAACCCATTTTACGCCACATTTTTAAATATTGGTTGTTTTAACAGGATTGATACTTTTCGACATATCTTGTTGAAAGCTAAACTACACTCTGGCTCTAGCCCTTTCAAAACACCCAAAGGCCATGTGGTTCTGGACATTTCTATAAAAGTGGTAACGCTAACCATCTCCTGAATTGAGCGTTTCCTAAACTTGTGTTATGGTAAAACTGACCTGGACTGAGGCTAAGTTCCTTAACGATACGACAGCATTAGCACAGTTTGGCACTTGGCAGCTTGTTACTGCAGTTTTGTAAAGGTAGGGGTTAGTCGAGGGTTCCTCAGTTGTTTGCCATCTGTAACCGCAACGCTGGCGCTAGGTCCTACACACTGTCCCTTTTTAACATGCAATTGCTTTATGCACTTTAAGCGGTTTTTGAAGTCGAGACCTCCGGTGATCATTTTGCTCCTATATATATATTTCATGATACTCGATATTAAGTTATAAGAGTGAGAAAACTGAGCAAATATTAGCAGTTAGCTCCAGCTCTTCCAGTACTACTTCGTCCCCATAGAATTAGAAACACTTCTTTATACTGTTTCTGAATCACTGGCTCTGCTTTCTTTTGGAGAGGAAGAGACCTGTATGGATAAACTGCTTCCTGAATGATAAACAATGAAGAAATCCTAACAGCCAATAGCTAGTTGAAGAGATACAAATGGTGGTGAAGACTTCAACTCCCAGGTTCTCGCCCTACGTTACCAAATGACACCCCTTTTGTTTTTTTCTTCTTGGCTGAGAGATGGTTAGTGGCAGAAACTTGCATATTGTGTGCTTGAAAGTTATTTTTTTAATGACATTATAGCCTTGTAGATGCTCAATGTTAATACGTTTTGGTCTATTCTACTAGTGGCCCATGTGACGCATTCTAAACATTGTTCTTTGGGCACAACTTTCACAGTTCAGGACTGTGACATTGCAGATTAAACCTGTCAAACACTTCTGGAGCCTAAAGGGGAAACTTTCTTTTCCACCCTTGATCAGAGCCATATGTTGCCTGTGTTTCCTGATTTCCTTTTGTATGCTCCAATGTGAAGTATGAAAGTACTGTACGTACGTGTCAACAGGAGCAGGGCACCGTGCTGATGGAGCTCTGTGGGGGGTCTATCGTGCCACAGAGGCTACTGGGTTGATAATGCCTCCCTGCAGGCAGTCCTCAGACCTACTGATGCTGAGCCTCTCAGCCATGCGATGCTGGTGTGGTCCTGTGTAACCAGGCAGCTGTATGTGTGAGTCTCTGCTGACCCTGGGGACTCCACCAGCAGCAACCAGACTACAGAAACAAACGCACCGTCTGAGCTCTAAATCACTGTGAAGAAATGGATGTGGAGGCTTTGTGTTTTCATTTCACACCTCTGGAGGGGATTTAGGCAGAATCAAAGCCTTCCCCATTTACTTAATTTAAGGAGGTTTAAGGTTGTTTTTTCAGTTTAGGCTGTAGGCCTGCAACACCCCTTCTATTATTTGCTCAACTGTCCACCTCCCAAATGTTTTTTACACATATTATTCTATCTGAGATGATCTTCTATTGAGGCTCATGCTTTTCCCCCCCCAGCTTTTCCGCCTTCCATTCTCACTAACTGCACACGTCTCTTCTTTTTCTCTCACTTTCTAGTGCCTATTGCTTGTGCTTTTTAGTGCTTGCCTTGCAGTGCTCTTTTTTGTTGTCATAGCTTGTGTATGTAGTGTTCATTACACCCACCTTTTTATATTCAAACTAAAAAATGCTAAGCTTTATCCTATTAGTGTTTTCTGGCTTCAAAAAGTAAACGCACTAGGCTTGAAATGATATACATCTATCTATTGGGTAATATCTGGCTTACTCCACAAGGCAGCTTCAGTAACCATGACTAACAGTTTGAGATCTTTAGTGTAAGTCAAAGGGCAAAAGAGCTTACACTCATGACTAGAAATCCAAACTTCTATAATTATCTCCAGAGTGTGTGACCCCTTTATGACCAACAATATCTTCCCTGAAGATCTCTTCAGCTTCTTTGAAACTCTATTGTAGTTTTCATGTAAACATAGCTTATAGCAACTCAGCAGAACCCCACAAAAAGCCTGGAGGAATGGAAGTGCATAATGCACTCGCTGAAGAACCTCCAGCAATCTTATCTTCCATTCCGTGACAATGGAGAGAATAGTGATGTGAGGTGAATAACAAGGGGTTAAATGTGTTTTGTATTCTTTGGCATACAGACTGAATTTAGACAGTTTTGTTTGTTGTGATTTTCCTATTGAGGTGCTGTCTTTTTTTTGTCCCCAGCAGAGGTGTGATGGTGGGACATTACGCTTCATTTGTTGTCAAAACAATGTATGGGCTTGTTTTGAAGTGCTAAGTTGGCTCTCCTATTCACCCCGTGGTGTTTCAGAAATGGTTGCTGGAAATGAATTCAGTACACTCTTTAGTCTTTGTTCTTGTTTCCTGTGACCCTGGTTTGTTTGACAGGTTAGCTGGAAGACTGGTAATACATTTCATAATGCTGCCTTGTTAAGAGCCATCAGCCGTTGAGTTTGAACCAATTGATTCATTCAGCTGATATTTAAAGCAACTTTTTCAGAAGATATGTGTATTATTGCATGGCGGGATTTTGGATTCCATTTATTTGGAACAAAAAGCTCTGCAGTGATACAAAAGAAGATGGGAAGGTTTGATGTAACTACCTTTAGTGTTGTGAATTAGCACTAGAACATTTAAACCACTCAAATATTCTGTGCTACATAACGCCTCCCTGATGTTTTCAGCAGTCTTCCCTGGTGTCCTTTTTCATTTCATTTCATCGTTTATTTGAAGAGGGACAGTGCACATTGATGAACATTTAAAACAAATAATGCTTTAAAAACGTAAACATGCCGGATTTTAGCTTTGAGCTAGTTTCCATCCGTAGTCCCTCACATACAACATTTAAGAACATGACATTTATATACATAGCAAAATAAATACATGATATGCAGAAAGAGCATGAGCAGCATATAAGCATTTACCACATGGCAGTACAATGTAGCAGCTACCAAATATAAAGTGATGTGTCCTCTTCACATCCCAGGTTTTTCTCTGGCTTATCTGCGTGAGCCAGATGACACATCTGCATTTGCTGATTCATTCGCAGCCTTGATTTCAAAATAGCAGATGCTGGACCACAACACAATGTGTAAACCGTGGTAAATATTTATTTCAAGATAATCAGTAAAGGTAAATGAACAGAAAACAGAAGACCTTGCTCAGAGCGGCTGCCAAGGACTGTGAAAGAAAAAAATCTATTTTTATTGACTTTATTGTAAATCGTTATATTTACTTAGCTTTGTGGTTAAACTACACCTAAAAGCCCCTATTAAAAATGTCCAAGATGCCTTCTCTTTATCAAAGAATCTTTCCTCTGACACCCCTGCAGCTTCCAGTGCCATGGTTAAAGGAGACCACGTGATTGTTTTTCTGATGGTTATCGGCATTATGGGTTGAGTGCACAGGCTCAGTCATAACTTCCTGTGGCAGAGTGACCTTGAATGCCTTAGAAAAGGAAAGTTGTCACGGCTTTTGACAAAGAGTTTTCCGGACAGTTTCCCAGCGATGAAACTGCTGCTCCAATGTGGCTGTGCAGTGGGACCCCCCTGACTCCTGGGCAGGTGTTAGGCCAAGACCAAGGGAATGATAAGGAGGCAGACATGCGTGAAAAGGAGGGAGGACATAACTATTCTCACCCGAGGGAAAACACCATCAGATTCTCCTATCGCAATCACCTAAACAGATGAAGCTGTCAAAACAGATCGGCCCTGATGTTCCAAAGGACTATCTCCAACTGCCATCACTGTCACCTGACACTGATCTTTTTTGTTGGCAGAAAATAGGCAATGCATTTCCTGTAAGGCCCCTCCCCAAAGCTGCATTTACATCGTTATAGATGTATTTCTATGGTCAGGCTGGTTGCCTGTAAGAAGCAATAATATCCACCAGGTGACTCTACAGGTTTCAAAACAAAAACCCTGTAGGATTTGTAAAATGACCCCACCAAGCTGGAAGCCTGTTAAACCCTCTGAATTTCTTGAAGACTCAAAGCAAGTGCATACCAAAGGAAAATCCTGTTCACTTCACCTTCATGACCCACTTTGTAAGTGCTAACAACAAATCATTCAAACATGATGCAAACCTCCTAATAAATGGGTGCAGTATCTTCATTTCCGAACCTGTTAGAGTCAGAGTCAAGTGTATTGCCAGGTACGTTCACACATACAAGGAATTTGCTTTAGTGTATGTTGCTGCAAACATAAACAGAGTGGGGCAAAAATATAACGATAAAAAAAAGAAAAGTATTTACTCCAAATTTCTATTTAAATATACAAAAGAACCTAAAAAGCTAAAAAACTTAGGACAATGAATATATGACAAACTACAGTGTATTATATTTGAAAGGTGTGGGCTGTGCAGAAATGTGCAAAAATATATTCAGAGAGATGAACATGAACATGGCTTACAGATTATTTTCAGAACTTGCAATTGCATCTGTAAACAATGCTGAGAGAGAAACACTAGAGGCTATCGAAGAGCTGCTGATCTGGTTGTATCATTCCTGTCAAATGTGAATGTAGATATAAGTACACCTTGATATATGGAAAGACGCTTATAAGAGGATTCATTGCCAATTAAGTGCAAACAATGAAATGTTACGTTTAAAAATGTGGGAATGGTATGTCAAAATGTGCACAAATCTATCATTTCATGGCATGGCAAAAGGGGTGGGATGGACTGGACCCCTTGTCCTTAATTCTCTTTTTGTATTTACCTAGATTTGTATCTGTATGTAAGTGTCATCTTGTGAGGATGCCTTCAAATAATGAGTTAAAATCTATTCACAAAAAGAGAAACATGCTAACAAGAGCTAATCACGTCTTTATCGAATAATTCCAATAGTTGAGAAATTCATCAAGACAGAAAAGTGCATTACTTTGCAATTCTACTTTCATGGCACATTGAGACATTTAGCAAGAAGTGGAAGATCTAACAGCATGCTGACAGTTTGAGAGCTTATGGCCAGTCCCTCCTTTTGTCTGTCCTCTGTAACTCATTACCGTCATGTGGGATTGTTGTCTGTAGTGTTGTTGGAGTCCCATGGGTTCTGTTGAGGAGGCTTTGGACTTGAGGAAAAGTCATTTGGAAGTGAATTCCCACCCTGATTAATGGTCTAAATAATAGGTTTGCTTGTCATTTGTGTCCTGATGTTGCTGTTCCATATTTCAGTGGAGACAGTATCAGGGGATTTGGAATATGGCCTCTGTCTCTGTGGTTTCAATAAATTATTAGTCCTTTTTGAAGGTTGTTTTCCTTTCCTGGGACTGATGGGTTCAGGTCTATTGGGCAACGTTTGATGTCATATAGTGGTTAGATGATTAGAACAAAATAGTGTTTCAAATGTTGTTGTGAACTTTGTTGTTTTAGGGTCTGGTCAAACAAACTGTGGACTAATATTACTTGTCTTGGTTTTATTTTTCTCCTTTGTTTAATGTCATAGCTCGTCATTCATTTTTACAGTTCAGGAAGAAGATCAACCCAAGTAAACAAGACAAAACAAATGCGCTGCACAAAGACTCCTACACATGGGGACAATCATAATTGGGAAGAATCTTTCCAAACAGTCAGTGTAATTGCTGCTTTAGTCATAACACTGACGCATCCTGTCAATTCAGCGGCCTCTCAAAAACACAGTTTCAACATGCGGTTGTTGGTGTGGTCCAGTGTGTGGTTCCAAACAATGATCTGCATGGTGACTTTTTCTCCCTCTGTTCCTGCAGGCTTCACACAGCACAGAGAGCCATCAAACAGACCCAAGTGACAGTGCAGAGGATTGGGAAGGAGATCGAGGAAAAGCTGAGGACGACGGCAACATGCACAGAGCGGGTGAGCCCAACCATCCCCAGCTACATTCCAACTCATCAGCAACTTACCTTTTAAATCAGCAGCAGTGTTTAGGCCGCTTATTTACTCATTCCAGCTTTGGGCAGCTATTGTGTCCTTCTGTTTTGACTGCTCGACAGAAGGTGGAGAGACCATTATCCCTCCTGCCTTAATGATCACGCTTTGACCAAAATCCACTGTTTATGTTTCCATCTCCTGTCATATCCTCGAACGGATCCACTACAAAAGCAAGAAAGCATATTTAACATTGTTGGAATTGGCAGCCGCACAGCTGTGCAAACGGAGCACTGATCCCAGGTTTGACGTAGTGTTTATTGTAAACATTCACTTCAAAAGCATCCCATCTCTTCTGCTGTTATAAAAGCCCCTAGGCAGTGACACTTGGGTGCTTTTGTCCTCCAGGTAGACTTGCCTTCAGAGGAAAGCACAGCTGGGATCTTTTTGTGTCCACACAGTGTTTAAATCTACAGCAGAGTGTGTGCTGCATATGTGCTTTTGCACAGATACCACATTTACAGGTTTAGTTCCCCTGTAGACTGCCTTAGACATCTGTTACAGCTGTTGCCTTCCATCATGCTCTCATCGGCTTTTGATATGGCTCCTTTTTTTTGTTCCTCACCCAGACCTTCACCCTACCTATTAAAACAGCTCCACTAAAGCCTTTTCAAGCCTCCCCGCAAAAACATTGAGGCTCCATTCTTTTGCCACAAAGGATCCCTTTCAAAAACTTGTCTCTGATATTTCCCCCTCATTGAAACATTCCTCAAAACCCTTTTCAGAGCTCACATCAGCTAATAAATCACATAATCCTCGTCCTCCACCTTTTCCGTTCAAGAAACCCGGGCGAGAGTGAGTGGAGCATTGTGTGGCTCTTCTAAGGGTTTCCCTCTCTGCCTTTGGAGAGCTCAGAACTATCCTTCTGTGCGCGTCATAGTGAGCGTGGATCAAAGGGGGGGACAGAGTGTAGGCCACCAGCCCCAGCACATGGCCCTTTCACCCTCTCACCCACGCTCTGCCATTAATCTGTGGGTTATTTCATGCTCCCCCCACGCCTGCTGCTTATTTACTCAGCTGACCCACTGCTGTTTGATGTTCAGGAGGAGTCAGACGGGCCCTGGTGGTCGGTCACAGTCTCACACACACACACAACTATGTCGCTGAGTGAAAGTGTAGGAGGCTCCTGGTTCGTGCAAAAGCCATTGGCGGTTAACATGCGAGCATGGAGAGCGACACATTAGAGATGGAGGCTCTATCAGTCTTCTCTCTCCTGGCGACTGATACGCCGCTCTGTCTTCACTGCAAAGCCCTCAGAAGTCTTCATGAAGAAGCTTATCTGTGTTCCGTCTGATCCAGATCTCGCTGTGTGTGTGTGTGTGTGTGTGTGTGTGGTGTGTGTGTGTGTGTGGTGTGGGTGTGTGTGTGTGTGTGTGTGTGTGTGTGTGTGTGTGTGTGTGTGGTGTGTGTGTGTGTGGTGTGTGTGTGTGGTGTGTGTGTGTGTGTGTGTGTGTGTGGTGTGTGTGTGTGTGTGTGTGTGTGTGTGTGTGTGTGTGTGTGTGTGTGTGTGTGTGTGTGTGTGTGTGTGTGTGTGGGTGTGTGTGTGTGTGTGTGTGTGTGTGTGTGTGTGTGTGTGTGTGTGTGTGTGTGTGTGTGTGTGTGTGTGTGTGTGTGTGTGTGTGTGTGTGTGTGTGTGTGTGTGTGTGTGTGTGTGTGTGTGTGTGTGTGTGTGTGTGTGTGTGTGTGTGTGTGTGTGTGTGTGTGTGTGTGTACTAGCTCTTTTCCTCCCAACTCTTTATCATCCATTATGTTTTCGGCCAAAATGTCTATTTATTTTTCATCACAACAAAGTCCCCTAAATAAGTGGCAGCCAAATAACGCCACTGTGGCCCGAGGAAAATTCTAAAAGTATAATGGAATATGGCCTACATATGAAACGTGTGCTTGTCTTATATTGTAACATTCATGTGTTAATAAGCCCACTGTTCAAATCAATTCAGTAAGTTAAGTTGAAAACCTTTTCTAACAAATCTAACATGATAAAAAAAAAAGCCCAATAACCTAGTTCCATAATCATTTTCAAATATACCCTTCCTATTCACCCTTATTATAATACATCTGAGGCTTCTCTTTTAAGGGATGAGCTGCCAGCTCTTTTTGTAACTAAATAAATGAAATCCTGTTCATATAAAGCAGTTTTTCTCAATGACCTCACACTGATGCTGTCAGGGAGCATATGGTGGGAGAGACGCCAGAGGAGAGTTGTGGGTACAAAGAGTCAAAGACGGACACTCATCTGGAGTGGATGGGCTTTATTGTGGTCTCTCACTCCGGGGTGTGTACATGGCGCGTCCTGGTTCTCTGTGTGTTGGCAGTTGAGTAGCAACAATCAGTTCTGGATCACACATTCTGTGAGAATGACTCATGACTGTTCATTCTGACTTCAGAATGCTTCGCCAGTTTTCCTGCTTTAACAACATTAAACATAATGTTGAACACATCTGCAGGTTGGAGAATGCTTGATTAAATGGATTTATTTATATTTTAACCATTTCTCTTATTTAGTATTTAGTCTGACTTTCGTATATCATAATATATACAGTAAATGGGGCTGCAGTTATTATTTCCACTGTTGGATAATCCTTAAATGGTTTGGTCTTTTCATCAAATCTCATATAATAGTGAGAATGCACTAATCTTCTAATTTCAAAATGCTGATTATTATTTAATTAAGTGCTCAAATGTTGGTTTTGTTACAAATCATATATATTTAGTTGTCGGTCATAAAGAAAACAGAAAGTATTTTATGAAATGATATAACAGTCTAATCTAATATATATCTAAGATAATATTTACATCTAATATGCAACTGTAATCAGAATCATTTTTTCTTCTTAAAAAAACACTTAAATTGATGAATTGACATCAAGTTGAATCAAACTTTCGGCTTTTGATTGGGCACTATGTTACAGAAGTAAAGTTATTGATAAACAAGCGTGCTGTCCTCCACCTTTAAGCCAATATCTGAGTCCCTGTCCATCTTCTCATTGACTGCTGACAGTGGAGTCTAGATTATTGAACTCAGTAGATCTGCAATAAATCAATGTGACTTGGAAACACAAATGAATTTGATGGAGCTAGTAGGAATTTAAAGGTATTTCAAATGGTTATAAACACAGATTACTGCTGTGCCCACATACTAAACAAGTTCCTTAATCCTCTTTCTCTGTTTTGTCTCCGTGTTGTTGTCTTGTGTTGCTCTGAGAAGAAGAAAGAGCGAGAGTGCATGCAGCTGCGTATCGCTGTGCTGCGGAGCGAGCTGCAGCGGCAGAGGAAGGCGCTTGGCAGGGAGATGGACCTTCGGCAGAAAGAGAGTGCACAGCTTCAGAAGAAAGGTAACGCTGTGGGGGCTCACACCACACTCAGACTGATGCAATGTTTCCCTGTGAAATGCAGGATGGGAAGGGTTATGGCTTGGATATAGAGTGGTGCAGTGATGATGTCTTTTTGTGGGTCAAACCGGAAGCTAGCTTCACAAGGGCTCCCTCAACAAAAAGTCCAAAAAGAAATTCCATTGTATTTCTGGAATATTACAGTAAATAATATCTGTGGGAAACAAACATTTCTCCACATATTAACACCACTTTATCATTGTTCAAGGATAAATGCAAACACCAGAAATAAATAACTAACAAAATATCTATAAATAAACTACGTCATGGTCACCCGCTAAGCTAAAGCCAGACTTTTATGTGTAGTGATGACATTTAGTAGTCTCATTTAGCCACTTGTAAACAACCAAGCTAACGCTTCAGACAATCCCCATTAGGCTATTAACTGGCTTTTATTATGCCTTGCAGTTTTTGGAAAAGTCTCGTAAGCTTGTAGTAACCACTGACCTGGGTTCAGAAATAAAACCAAAAATCCATTCATAAAATTCAACTTTAAGACAAAAGAACCTGAAAGTGCTAAACTGCTAACTCATTTCCTGCTTTAGGACTCAATCCTGCTATTGCTTTATTCATGTTTTAATAACAACATAATTGTTTAACAGATAAATACAGTCTCAGATATAATTATCAGCTGTTTCAGTTCTGGGCATTTCATTTTGCTGAACAGTGCCCTTCTATTCCGATCTTAAGTACTACACCATTTTGGCATACTCTTTAGCCACAAGCAACTTTGCCAAACATGTGATAACTGAATACACACAAGGCTGCATATTGATGTTTATATTCAGTACACTAGATTAGCTCAAAATGACTGCTTTAGCGTAACAGGAGCATACTGGTGGCAATACCAGTGACAGGCATTTAGAGTTGCATAAATATCACATGAGATGATTCATCCCCCTCTAACTCATTAATAGTGCTACACACATTAAAAGCTTTTGTACTTGTACATCAATAAATGGTGATAAACATGTATTAAGTTGTATTATGAACTACAGGGCTGTGTTGCAGCTACTAATGGAATATGAAACAAAGAAAACATAAATGACAATGTTATGACAGTTTGATCATTATTTTTGTCTTGACAGAAAGCAAAGGCCTAACCAGAATATTTGTAATTGTATTCAATCAAATAGTAAATCCTTTTCAGTAAATGTAGCTCATAGAAATATTTAGATGCAACAAATAATTTCTATTATTCATGTTGATATATGCTAAGTTGCATCTCTAGAATTAAATGAAGCACCCAACCCACATAAAATAATAATCTGAAAGAATAACAAAAATGACTATCTTCCATATTGTGTCGACAGTTATAAAACAAGTCTTTTTTAAAGCAGGCGTATTTTGACTTCACATATTAGTCTATAAAACAAACTCTAGAAAATAACATTTATTAGATTTGCAGTTTGTATCCTTCGGCTTGTGATTTGATTGCACAGGAGACTTGGGTTTTGAACAGATGAGTCGGGGTTTCAGTGGTGTGTGACAGCAGCAGGTAGAGAGTGTGTGTGCTGTTTACCTGTTCATTGTGCAGCACAGTAGAGAGTGTTGTCACATACAGGAAACCTCTGTCACGCTGCCGCTCAGAGGATGGGAGTCACTCAACATGCATGCATATGTACCCACGAGGTACAGTATATAGAGCCATTCCTGTGGTTTTCAGTCTGTGCCAGACCACTAAAGCAACAGTGTGTGTGCCAGGGTGTCATCGAGTTAACCCCGTGAAGTCTGCAGCTCCTGACTGATATCTGAAAGCTGGGGAGGGTTTTACTGCTGCCTCTTACTGTACACAGGGAATCAAGAAAAGTCTGGACTAGTGAAGCATGGGTTAACAAAGGTCAAATGATCCAGTAATTCATAAAAAGACCACACACACACACACACACACACACACACACACACACACACACACACACAGTAGGGCTGTGCGATTATGGCAATAATCATAATCACGATTATTTTGGTCAATAATTGATATCACGATTATTAAATACGATTATTCATTGACTTTGAAAACATCCATTTATTGAACTTTAAAACAAATACAAATAATAATTTGAACAGTATCTTTTTAACTGTTGATTACCCTGAGCGTATAATTCAACTGAAAAACCAATACAAAAATAAATAAAATAAATGATACATTTATATTTACATTTAAATAAATAATATCAAAATAATAAATACCAATAAACAAGATCAACAAATATTTTGGAGCGCACTTCAACAAGCTACTAAACATATGTAAATATGATAAATACAAATAAATTAGACTAAAATAAATGAGATCAAATATGTTGCAGTGCAGTCACAACCTAGCAAAGCTAAATAATCGTTTTTTTCGATTATGTTGTTTTCGTAATTGTGGCAGGCCAAAATCGTAATTGCGATTAAAATACGATTAATTGCACAGCCCTAACACACACACACACACACACATATATATATATATATATATATATATATATATATATATCGAAAAACATTAGAGACCACTGCAGCATTATCAGTTCTCTGGTTTGACTATTTAAAGGTATTTGTTTGAGTAAAATGCACATTTTTTTTATTTTATTCTACAAACTACTGACAACATTTCTCTGTGTTGGAATTCTACAGATACTGGAATTGAATGGCTGCCATACATGTAGAGATTGAGATTTAAGAAAACATTTGAGTGGTCTCTTTTTATTCTGAGCTGTCCATATACATGCATACATAATACTGTACAAGCATACACACACACACACACACACACACACACACACACACACACACACACACACACACACACACACACACACACACACACACACACACACACACACACACACACACACACACACACACACAAAAGGTGTCTTAATAAGTACTTTAAAATATAAAGAAATGGATTAGCATGTCCCTCCGACTTGTTTATCTTAATTTCATTGTATTCTGTGTTGGCTGCAGTACAGAAACGTTCAGTTTGATCTTTTCTCGACTTCAGCTAGCTCTCTTTGATATTTAATTATGTGTTTCACATGTTGTTCATAAAACCTTAGGGTTAATATCAGACCCCTAAACTGTGCAGTTAGTCTCTCTACTTGAGCTTGTTGCTATCAAATGAGAATAACAAAGGAAACTATTTTTACCAAGTTGTTTATTGTTAGTTTTTGTTCCTTATATGGTGGAGATTGAGCCTGTTCCTGTGAAGATTGAAATGCAATCCCACTGAGCCGGCAACCTAAGGTGGGGATTGGTAATGATTAGCATGAAGTCTGCACATGAATCCAGAAATACACACACACATACTAACACAAAAAGTGAGCACTAAAAGGGTTCAGGGAGAAGTTTCCTTTGTGCTGTGATTCTAAAAAAGAAAATGTCCGTTAATCCTCCGCCTCTTTACCTGTCACCACTTAGTCTACAGCCAAAAGAACCCGCTGCTCTCTGTCTCCGCCGCTCATTGATGGCTTATTTCCAGACGGGACAAGTGCTTATTAAGAAACAGAAGAACAAATTCCTTCAGCTGTTAAAGAGGGAAAAGGTATTTAGGATAAATTGAAATGCTGTAGCTGAATAGCGCTCGCTGAAATTCTTGTTGTTTTTTCCCAGACTCATAACTCAAAAGCTAAAAGCCATATGCTGCTGAGCTCGGCTGTACTTCCAGTGTGTTGTTTAACTCTTCCAATCAGCCTGCACACACTCATTTGTTTCACTATCGGAAAAAGGCCTGCATTCATTACAGACGGGATACTCTGGGAGACAGGCGTTTATAGTATCTCGTACAGCAGCTCGATTTTTTTTGTCTGATTATATTTATATTGGCACCGCAGCGTGTTTGTTTCATCTGATCTCATCTTTCAGTTGGACACATATCATTTCATCGGTTGTGTCTTAAATTTCATTTTGTAACTTTCCTCTTGGGACTCTATCGGCTTGTCTGTCAAAACATTCAATAATATAGATTACTCGTCACACAAGCTGCTGGCTAAGCTAATGTTGATAGAAGTGAGTGTTTCATCCGTTGAACTTTCACACATTCCAGTGCTTATTAGATACAGGTTTCTTTTCAAGTTTTATGGACGGTTTAATAGTTGCCGTAAGTTCTTTGCTATGCAATATTTCCCCAGAGGGAATACTGCATGGAGTGTTAATCTTCATTCTTGTTCACGTTCTCTAGGACCTCATGTGTATCTGAATGTGTGGTCCTCCCATCTCTTACACAATCCTCAGGCTCATTAGCAAGTCACTCTTATCAACCTGTCCTTCCCAGGAAACTGTCCCTTCTCAAAAGACGTGGCCCAGAAAACCCAAACACACAGTCGTGGTTCTGCAGGTGTGTGCGTACACATGTGAGCCAGCATATAAAGATGAGGCAAAAGCTGTGTGTCTGTGTTCATTTGTTGTGCTCTTTTTTTTTTTGCCATCCTGGACATTGTTAGCATAGCTCTGAAAAGCATCAGGAGTGGATATCATCCTGATGACAGGTTAACGACTAGCTGTTCTATGCACTCTGATTTACTGTAAAGGCAGTGAAATCATAGCAGGGGTGTAGACTCAAAGAAAAGAAAAGCTGTTGTTTTTCACTTCTCTTGCAAACGCACACACGCTAAGTCCACTGCATGCCTTTTTCATAATCCATAACAGAGGACATAGGAGGATGACCGCATTTCTTTTCCTTCTTTACGACTGCAAATTTACAATACAAGTATTTCTCTCCTCCTCCAGATTGAATGAGTTTGGTTTTGGTGGGGTCACACTCTTGTCACAATTTCCTCCAGTCTAATTTCCCTCCTTCCACCTGAAGCAGATGACATAAATCAGGCCCGAGAACAGTGTTTATTGTGCTTGGTAACGGTAGTTATTCTCACGCTCTGAACAGAGCCAGAGCTCCTGACTAATAAATGTCAGTGGTTGGGTTTCTTAAGTGTAAGGAACACAGATTTGTGAAGGTATGG